AAGCCTTTTCCCTTTCAGCAGCAACTCTGCTCAGATGTAGGTGGGTGTCAGTAAAGTGGCTTTAGGCAGAAATGAAAGGCAAAGGCGCAGAAAATGGTCAGTAAAAAAATGCTGAGACCCTGAGGATACCCACTGTTCATGCCAAATCCCATGCCCCCCCACCATACCATGGTCAAGGATCCCGTTTCCGTCCAGCCTGGACCCATCAATCAGGAAAGGTCCCCATCAGAGTTACCTTGCTTGAGATAACTGACCTTCCTCAGAACTCAAATGGAGGCAGCTGTGGCAACAATTTCAAATACTTAAAATATTAGAAAATTTAATAAAATTTTCTTCCTGCTTTGCCAGWAATCTTGCAGTGTTTTCAGTGAGTATTTCCCAATGGTAGGTTGAAGGAGAAATCATAAATAAAARTCACCATCCAGTAAAACCACCAAGTATGGCAATTTCTCAAAAAAAAGATGTTAAGTAGGGACCTTTCATCAGAGTACCAAAACTAACATGAACAATCCTCTGCAGTTTCTGCTGCTTCAGCTTCAAATGTATCAATGCTCTTCCTTGGAGGTTGGGTGGCAGGACCATCCAGCAGGAGATTAAACAAAAAAAGCCCAGAGGTAAGAGGACTGAAGACAGTGAAGGAAGACAAAGGAAAAATCAACCACCACCAACAAGAAATACAGCAAAAGAAACTAGAATAAAGTTTCCTGTAAGCAGAGCAGAGGTATAGAGACTTCAAATACTTGCTCCAGCCTTGGCTATCCCTCATGGCCAGCAAGGTGGAGCAGCTGATTTGACCACCAGTATTGCCTACATGCTCTTCTCCATATAGCAAAGTTCAGCAGCTAATAATGTGTGAAATCTGCCTAGACAGAGCATCAGGTTTTCCCAGGACATTTCCATGGTCAGCTCAAAGTCAGTATGTGGAATGAACAGGATTTTCTTCTGAGAGAACCTGAGGAGTATTGCAGAAACTGTGCTGAGATCAGCTTGAAGTTTTCAGGATGCATTTGAATATTTTCTCTTTGAGCTGCATGGTTGAAATAAATTTGTGCAGCAGCTTTGCAACTGCATGTAACTTTTTWAATTTCTGTTCAGCTAGAACCATCTATCTYTCCTTTTTAATTCAGCYTCCATATCCTGTAATGACCTTTTAMTRTGTGTTATTTCCCTGTTCACCCACTTRTCTAATGAGCTAGGCTGGTGTGTTTTTCTCTTCATTTTTCTAATAGGCATAATAAGAGTGAAGCTACTGAAGAGCAGATGATTTCTRTGCTAAAGCTTTAGTAAATTTTGTGAGGCAATTTTAACAGTCATATAAAATCTGAAACTGCATTGAATTGGCTACATAGCTAAAGTAACAAAGAGCCTGACAATTAACATTTGCATACCAAAAAATGCCCAGAGCAAACTTAAGCAGTCTCTCTTTACAGAAAGCAGAGTACAAGTTCTTTGTTGACAGAGGTTTACAGTCAAAAATGGTTTTCATATAGTGTTTAAAGCATACAGGCATAGGGATGCATCACTAAATAAATGGTGCAYTGCAGGTGTATAATTGTGCTATGATTGCTTTGGACAAATTTGTAAAGCTTGTAGTAAAGGCCCATAGCAGAAGACTAACACCAATTTTCAAATCTGCTGCACTCATTAGACAGCTGAAAAAAGAAATCATGGACTGCTGACTGCCATTCCAGTCGGAAACTCCCAATTAACAGCATAACAAGACCAGAAAAGACTTCCTCATTAATAACCCAGTAATGACAACCAAGGAGTTAACTGGTTCCCAGAGGTTCCAGGAAGTTCTCAGAATCAGTATCTTTTTGCCTGATAACATTTTCCTCATGAAAGTTAAATAATCTGGCACAMGCATATACAAGATTAAATTTTGAGTGAATTATACATTCTGACATTTGTCTTTCTTCCATACAGGCATAGTAATGTCTCCTGGGAATAATTTGCAGAAATTATTCAGAAATTCAGAATTTACAAAATTATCTTTAGGGAAGCTTGAAGGGACATATTTATGAGGTAGGTGCAGTGATTGAGCACTCAGCATTTTCATTTGYGTATGCCAGTACGGATTTGCACATGACTGAAGTGAATTAAAAGGCAGATAGATGCTCAGTCAAAAAATTGTAGTGTTGCCTTAGGAAGGTKCAGAAGAATTGCAAGTATTTTGTTACAATAGCTGCCAGAGGGGTTACTTTGAGGGGTAAAAAAATCCCCTGTTAAAAATAGGTCTTGCATTTTCCAGCTCATTTCTTCGCTTGAGTGAACTGTGARAGAATTAGTTCCCTAATTATGCCAACACAATGGCTTAACTTGTTGAGTTGTGAAAGCTTGCTGTTATTCTTAATCAGCATCTGTAATTCAGTAATAGTAAGCCTGTGACAATGAGAGAAAACAGAAGAAGATTCATAGTTTCTGCCATTAAAAGCTATTATTTCCCACATATTTTAGTGTAGAGGCAGTTCTTGTACTCAAAGCRGTGAGACCCCAAGCACATTGCCATAGAATAATTTTACTTTGATAGCTACTGTTAATTGCCAGGCAGTGAGGCAGTGTGATGGAGCTGCTGGCTGTTGGTGTAGCATAAGTGTTWCTGGGTTGTCTTTCTGCTAAGTGGACAACAGAGCCCACTCTGCAGGGGAGAGGATGGAAGTCTTCAGATTAGAGTCATCCTTAGTGTAATTTTGGAAGATTCAAGTTACATTAGCATTGAGTTGGATCCCCAGAATAGATACTTTTTTCTTTCATTTTTGCAGATTTATCTGTATTTACACTGTTGTAAATAATAACAGACTTCCTTCTGAGCTTCCTTTTGAACCTCAACAAATACATAAGCTTACTTTGCTCTGCCTTTTACCTCCTGCATTTTCTTATTACATTTCCTAGTGGCATTTTTTATCATCTTCAATGACGGCATTAGCTTCCTTTCTTAGAGGAAGTTAGAGGAGCTCACAAGATCACTGATGACTAACCATGTTTTAAATTAAAAAAAAAAAAAACAAAAAAATTTAAAAAATCTAATTTTTTTTTCTTTTTTTTTTTTTTTTTTTTTTTTTTTTTTTTCTTTTTTTGCCATTTCAATACCCAGATCACACATTCTTGGAAAGCCATAGACAATCCCTACTCTGACATTTACCGTGTAATATATTAGTTGTATCTTCATTTTTAAATAAAGCAAAAGTAGAAACAAAACATCTCTGCTTCTCTTGGGCACCCCTAGAAGAGCTCCCCTAGCTGGGTACCCATCAGGCTGCTGCAGCTGGTTCATCAATGCTGAACTGGGCTACCAAGCATCCCTTAGCCCAAATACAGTGGATGCAGTGCAAAATTTGGCTTAATAKGAACACCTTCTCAGCTAACTCTCTGTGTCCAGCTCTTATGTCAGCAGCATGCCTAACTTTACACCTTTACCTGTTCTTAGGAATAACTGGAGATATTTGGGAGGGTAGGGAGCAATGCATCCCCACCCTTCCAACTCCACCCATGCTGTTGGTCCCCAAACTCAACTGCCAGTTCCCCTCAGTCTGAGGAGTACAGAGGAATCTCGTGCCTTTCTGCTGCCCCTGCTCTTTTGCAGAGCTGTTGGGTGGTATGAGTTGCATGGTGGCTATGTGATTGTATTACCAAAAGCTGAACAGAATCACAGAASAAGCTGAGTTGGAAGGGACCCTCAAGGGTCATCAAAGTCCAACTCCTGGTCCTGCACAGAACCATCTTCAACAGTCCTATCATGTGCCTGAGAGTGGTGTCCAAATGATTCTTGAACTCTGTTAGGCTGGTGCTGTGACCACTTYCCTGAAGAACCTGTTCCAGTGCCCAACCGCCCTCTGGGTGAAGAACCTTTTTCTAATATCTAAACTAAATCCCCTTGGGCACAACTTCAGGCCATTCCTCAGGTCCTGTCAATGGTCATCACARAGAAGAGATCAGTGCCTGCCCCTCCTCTTYCCCTTATGAGGAAATTGTAACTGCAATCCTCTCAGTCTCCTCTTCTCCAGGCCGAACAGACCAAGTGACCTCAGCCACTCCTTTTATATCTGCCCGTCCAGGCCCTTCACCTTCTTCATTGCTTTCCTTTGGATGCTCTCTAAGAGCTTTATATCTTTCTTATATTGTGGTGCCCAAAACTGCACACAATATTCAAGGTGAGGCCACCCCAGAGCAGAGCAGAGTGGGACAATCCCCTCCCTTGCCCGGCTGGTGATGCTGTGCCTGATGTCCCCCAGGGCAGGGTTGGTGCTCCTGGCTGCCAGGGCACTGCTGACTCCTGTTCAATTTGCCATCGACCAAGACTCCCATGTCCCTTTCWGTGTYGCTGCTTTCCAGCATCTCYTTCCCCAGTCTGTCTGTACATCCAGGTTGCACCATTCCAGGTGCAGAATCCAGCACTTTCTCTTGTTGAACTTCATTCTGTGGGTGATTGCCCAGGCCCTCTAATTTGTCAAGRTYTCTCTGCAGGGCCTTCCTGCCTTCCAGGGAGGCAACAGCTGCTCCCAGTTTTGTGTCATTTGTGAACCTGCTTAGTATCCCTTCCAGTTCTGCATCCAAGTCATTTATGAAGATGTGTTAGAGCACAGGACCTAAGATAGAGCCCTGCTGAGCCCCACTAGTGATAGTCACCAGTCTGATGTCTGTATTCACTGCAATCTGCTATGCCTGACCTGTGAGCCAGTTGCTCACCCRTCACATGACATGTTTATCCAGCTGTGTGCTGGGCATTTTGTCCAGAAGGATACTGTGAGAGACAGAAGCAAAAGCTTTACCCAAAACCAAACCCTTGATCAACTTCATCGGTGTCGTGGTTTGAACTTGACCGAAAGCCAAAAGCACTGCATCCACAATCTTCTCTCCCTTCCCACCAGAGAGGGYAGAAGGGAGAGCAAAAGCCCAATTAACAAGAAAATTTATGGCTTTCAGATAACATAACACAATTGAGAGAAAGATATGTATGTGCTCCAGAGAATGTTCAGACAGGCTAAATAACTTTAGTTGCAAAATAGATTTATTACTAAAAACTACTAAGAATACTACTGCACCGGGGAGGGGAACAAAGATAGGGACAAATTTACAAGGAGAAGAAAAAAATAAAAATGGACATTTTAAGACACCTGTTATCCTTTCCGGGACCCGTCTCTTTCTCAGGTCGYCCCTCTCCACCCCCCATGTCTTCCCACACACACAGGGCACAGGAATGAAAGTCTAACATAGATCAAACTACTCATTACGGTTGTTGACCAGCATCAAAGGAGAAGTGTTCTTACAGCTCCAAGCTGTGGAAGGTCTTTTCCCAAGAAACAGTCAGTGTATAACTGCTGATGGCAAGGGAGTCTTTTCTTTACCTTGTAGGAGAAAAGGAAAGAATGTTCTTCAAGGCCAAACTGCGTTGTTTCGGCAGCATAAGACCACTATCACAAATCTCCTGGCAGAACACAGCATCCACTTGCTTCAGATGTAGGGTGGGGGCATCTTCTCCTCCCCGCAGAACACATTTTCTTCTTAGCATCAACTCGCTTCAAACATCCTGGGGGGGGGGTCAAGCCTCTTCCTTTTTTATTTTGGCTTCCAATCAGTTCAGTCCAGTCCTCAAAGGCCAGGTTTTTTTTTTTTTTCCTCAGAGCAAGGTCGCTCTCCTTTTCTATACAGGTCTCTCATTRATGAAATAGTCCTTTCGAGAACAACTTATTTTCTCCATGCTCGAGAACCACAGCAACAGCACAGCAAACCAATCCCATCTTCTCCTTACTGTGATCTTTGGGTCTCCATTTTGATTCTTACATSTCCTCACCCTCCTGCTCTGTTTTTCCCCAATGCATGGTACTAAAACTAAATACTAASAACCTAAAACTACATGGCAGCCGCCCCTATCTTGTTTTGAATTCTTCTTAAGTACAAGACAATAYGTCATCACAGAGGTGTAACYARCCTGTGCAATTGGCCCAGGCCTGATGGGCAGCCTGTCCATCAACCTCAGAGCCATGATGGATTGGCTGTAAAACACAGGGGGTAGGGCTCCTTTTGCTGGAGAAGAAGGGGAAAGATTCTAGAACTTCCTCACAGGAGCCATCTTTGTGGTTTMTTGGTCCCATCCCTCCACCACCAAAAATCGGACCAARTAAAACCATGACAGTCAGTTACCTTGTCATAAAAGGAAATCAGGTTTGATAAGCAGGACTTTCCTCTCATGAATCCATGCTGGCTGTGACCAATAACTGTACACCTGGCTTCTCTCAAATCAGCCCACAGAGAAATTCAGAGATCTGGGCTTGTGCCAGTGTAATGATCAGGAGTACACAGACGAAGGTATTTATGAATGCCAGTTTTCCTGCATCATTTCCTTTTCTTCCTTGCAGGTGCTGAAGAATGACATCAGGTGTGCATGCAGAAAGTTGAATTGCAGTTGAATTTCTGTTGAAAGGCAGAAAGCATTCACTGCTTCTAAATGGGGCTTTGCATCCGAAGCTACTCCCACCCAACAGCTCACCAGCCCTGGGTTAGAAGTGTACTCTGCTTTCGTCTTACTCTCCACTTTTTTCAGATCCTCTAAATTTCCATCGCGTCTCTCAGAATTTCTGCATTATTTTTGACCTTTCACAGGTCCTCAATCTCTGTTTCACTTTGGGGGAAACTACACTGCAAAAAGTCCCTTCTGAATCAGCCATCTTGCCTGGACTGGCTTCTTCTTCTCACTATTCCCAACATGACCTTTCTGAAATGTGAGCTACTAAGTCTGGTCCCATATGTGAAACATGTGGTATTGCACATGTTGGAAAATCTGATGACAAAGTGACTTCAAAAATAAGGACATTTGTCCTAGCTTGTTGGCTTCTTGAAGGTTTTTAAGCTGCTACTAACCACAGACTTCCTCTTGGCTGAAGCCTGTGAGTGACAACATGTGCATGCAGAGAGCTCATTAACAGTCAGGATGTTTGAGGGTGGTGCTCTATGTGCAAAGCATATTTAATTTTATCATCAAATCCAGCTATTTTTACTCACAAAGTACTCTGTGAAAATGACAAGAGCATGCGAGAGCTGAAAGATTGCTAGATATAGAGGCAACTATTTCTATTTTGAAGCCTCTGCTGAGAAGATAAAAATTATTGAGGCTGAAATGCTGCATTCCAGCATTTACTGTCTCTCTTGACAGCAGAAGCACCGTGGGAGACTGAAGAGCAAAAATTAAGTTAGAGAGATAATACACAGGAAGCCAATGTTATGTTATATTAAAAACAGCCAGTACTTASAGTGACAAGCTTGGAAACTAGAAAGGAAATACTGCAACACTGAGGCATGCAGAACACGTTATGCTTATATGCTTCCCCTCCCCCTTTACAAAATAACATTAAGCCCAAACTATCACCAAAACATGGCAGGAGCAAGATGCCAAATGGGCAAACTACTTCACAGATCAATTAAGAAGAATGGGGCTGTCTCCCTTGGGTACAGAACTRTCCTCATCTCAGAAGGAGCTGCAGATCATTTGAGTATGTAAATGGTGTCTTTATGATTTATAGAAAGAGCCTAAATAGGGGAAAATCATGCCCATTATCTGTACTGAAAGAGAACACAATACARAACTGAAAATCGAGAAAAGAGAAAGCTGATCTCTTACCACCTTTAATCAGACAGCAATTCTCTCCCCAGCACTCAATTAGGTGAAGTAGGTACTTCCTTCAAGGAAGGCTGGAGCTCAGGGATTMCAAGTCTAGCTCAGGCACCTGCAGGGTGGCAAAATGAATACCAGCTTTGATGGAATCTCCCCATGCCAAAAAAGCCCTAACCCAAAACAACTAAAGCAAACACAGCCTAATCCTCTTGCAGTAGATGGACCCGTTGTGAAGGTTGCAGAACAAAACATTTACAGTCGTTCTTTTWTTGTTTGATAGTCTTTTAACAACTATGGTTTTACCTTTACTAAAACAGGTAATCTTTGGTAAAGTGATTTGCATCTTTCACTTCTAGAACAGTTGCCACAGAAGTTTGTAGCTCCATTATCTGAAAAAAATCAGCATAAGACATATGAAGTTTTATTTCTATGGTTTCGCATTTGTCTGTCAGGCTATCTTACKCTGTGAGATGTTTCATTCTTTTCAAGACAGCTTTACTTTGGTTAGGTAGCTTTAAGACCTGGATTTTAGTTCTTAGACCTAAATATGTGTCACAGAAACTAATACAAAATTAGTTTAAAGTAACATGTTTTGTGGCATGGCTCATTGGCCATCAGTGGTGCTGAGGCTACTGCCAGCTCAATATTTTGTCTTACAAAGGAGAAACTCWGGCAGAGTTATCCATTCTTATCAGCACTTCTCTGATTCCCACCTTGGTAAATCTACCAAGTTACTATGATGCCACAAGAGTCAACTACACTGGAGACACCTCTCAAAATACTAGGTATGCATTGTGTTCGGATAGGGGAAAAGGGTTTTTTTGTAAGACAGTAACCCGATTTTGGCAAGTGTGTTTTTATTCTGTCATCCTCTTTTAGTTGCTTGAGGGTCTGGATGAAATCCTGCTGTTACTGAGCCAGAGGTGAAACCCACATTGCTGAGTGTGAGATACTGGTGTATGTTAGTTATCAAAAATATAAGCAGAATTTCTTTTCCAATGCTATAATCTCGACATTGTGAGCTCAGGAGCTCACAAATCTTGTTTGGCACCATCCACTCACTCAGCACACTATAAAGGGCAGGAAGCCCAGTCTTTAAAATTTATTAACGGGGGCAAGTAAAGCATTAGCAGGCAGACTACTGGCTCACCACCTGGATGGAAGAGAAACATGCTTTTTCTCTCTCACGTTGATTTCTGCTCCTTGCACTTTGCCTGACAAATTCAAAATAAGATTACTCTTTACTAACTAGGTATCATACTAGGTGCAGTATCTTCAGACTGTGTATCTATATATCTGTACTATAAAAAGAACATTTTTAGAACCCATGTAACATTGTTTCTCCTCTCTGATGCATGTGGTGTCTTTGGCAAAGGTTATGTCATGTGTCTAACCACAAGTGCATATATACCACAGACTCTTCTAGGAGTCAAAGCAGCATATGCTGAGGGCAAGAATTGTGTTATTCTCTCTGAATTTCACCCTGCACACCATATTTAAATATCAGTATTGTTTTACAGAGGATGCCACCTATTGCCTAGAGGTCAGGACAGTCAGCARCTCCCACTATACCATCAGCAGGTTGGGGACCTCACTTTCCTGACAGCTGGATGCCTTAACCAGGAACACAGGATCATGGTCCATCTCCTTATGTGAACACCTTCCAAGGGCAGGGAGGGGCTGGGCTGGAGATTTTGAAACTATACATTTTAGTTTAAATACCTGAAGTCAGCATCTTGCTGACTTTCCATCTTCCGGGATACTTCAAGTAATCTTAGATGTCTAAAAAACTAGAAGCCTAAGTTTGAGCTGGTAACTTTATGCYCTTACTGTAGTTAATAAAGAGGGCCATATTCACAATATGTTGAATGTCCCTCTGCGGATGCCCATTTCTTCCTCCCAGATGCMAAAGGTGACCAACTCAGACAGACGTGGAACTTACAGGTGTGAAACTGGAGCAATGAGTCATGATCGAGAGGTCCGCATCCTATCAGCACACACGCTGACAAAAGTGTGGCTGAGAAACCCCGCAGCTCTCTACAGCGCCGAACTGCAGCATTTCTGAAAYTCACTGCAGATTTTAATAGCTGTCATCTACCCTAAAAAGGCATTAGCAGCCCTTCTCGTTAGTGTAGCGTCTTGCGTGTTCTTTCTCCGGAGCTCTGATGAATAGCAGGACCAACCACTCCTCCTCGGGACACCCTCGGCTKCTCGGTACCTGTCCTGGCTAGCACACCTCCTTTTCGGTGAGCCCCTTCCCGGGCAGGGGTGAGTCCCGCCGTGCCGAGCCCGCCCCTCCGGCCCTGTCAGGGGGAGGGAAGGAGGGAGGCCGGGCGAGGGGCGGCCCGGAGCCCGGCGCAGCGGCAACGGGAGCAGCAGCAGCCCGCGCCCCGCCGGCGGCGGCTGCTCAGGCGGCGGGGGCAGGTGCGGGCGCTTCCGCATCGCGCTGCGAGGAGGAGCAGGAGGAGAATCAGGAGGCGGCGGCGAGAGCGGGCGGGCGGCGCGGCCAGCGGCTCCGAGCCGGGCCGGCGTGCCCGTGGGCGTGCTCCCCGGCGGGGAGGACCGCCCGCCGCCTACACCCCCGCCGCCGCCGCTAACTTTGCTTCTCCGCAAAGAGCCGCCCTCCGGCAGACAGAGGGTCGGCGGAGCCGGGGTCCGAGCCGGCCCCCGCGATGAAGGGCCGGCGACGGTGGCGGGGCGAACATCGCCGCTTCGCCGCGGTCCTGGTGCTGTACACGCTGCTGCTGCTCCTGCTGGTGCCCTACGCGCTGGACTACGGGGCCAGGCGCGGGCGAGCGGACGAGGAGCCGCTGCTGCGGCGCTGCCCAAGCTTGGAGGAGGCGCTGAGCGAGTGGGGCTGGGAGCAGCGGCCGCCGCTGGACGAGGAAGAGGAGGAGGATGAAGCGGGCACGGCCGGGGCGGCGGGTAACGGCAGCGCGGGGACGGCGGGGAAGCGGCACATCTACCTGCACGCTACCTGGCGAASTGGCTCCTCCTTCCTCGGAGAGCTCTTCAATCAGCACCCCGACGTCTTCTACCTGTACGAGCCCATGTGGCACCTTTGGCAGGCTCTCTACCCGGGGGACGCGCTGAGCCTGCAGGGAGCCCTCCGCGACATGCTGCGCGCCCTCTTCCGATGCGATTTCTCCGTCCTGCGCCTCTATGCCGCCCCGTCCGGCCCCCGCGACCCGCTGGCCCCCGCCCCGCCCGCCGACAACCTCACCACGGCCAGCATCTTCGGCTGGCGGACCAACAAGGTGATCTGTTCGCCGCCGCTCTGCCCTGCCGCCCCGCGGCCCCGGGGGGAGATCGGCCTCGTCGACGGCGCMTCCTGCGAGGAGACCTGTCCGCCGCGGGCGCTGCGGGAGCTAGAGGCCGAGTGCCGCAAGTACCCGGTGGTGGTCATCAAGGACGTGCGGCTGCTGGAGCTGAGCGCGCTGCTGCCGCTGCTGCGGGAGCCCGGCCTCAACCTGCGGGTGGTGCAGCTCTTCCGCGACCCCCGCGCCGTCCATAACTCTCGCCTGAAGGCGCGGCAGGCGCTGCTGCGGGAGAGCGTCCAGGTGCTGCGCAGCCGCCACCGCGCCGAGCCGCGGGGCCCGGCCCGCCACCAGCAGCAGCATGTCCTGCTGCCGCCCGGGCTGCTGGGCGGCGGGCGGGTGCCGCAGCCGCARCACCGCGCCGAGTTCTTCCTCGGCGGCGCGCTGGAGGTGATCTGCCAGGCTTGGCTCCGCGATCTCCTCCTGGCCCGCCGCGCCCCGGGCTGGCTCCGCCGCCGCTACACGCAGCTGCGCTACGAGGACCTGGTGCGGGAGCCCCGCGCCGAGCTGCGCCGCCTGCTGCGCTTCGCCGGGCTGACGGTGCCGCCCGCCCTGGAGGACTTCGTGCTCAACATGACCCGCGGCGCTGCCTACTCCTCCGACCGGCCCTTCCTCATCTCCGCCCGCGACGCGCGRGAGGCCGTCCACGCCTGGCGGGAGCGCCTCAGCCGCCAGCAGGTGCGGCAGGTGGAGGCGGCGTGCGGAGAGGCCATGAGCATCCTCGCCTACCCCCTCAGCGCCAGCGACACCCGGTAGCGGCAGAGCCGCACGTCCTGGACTGGCCCGAGGGCGGACGGACAGGCGCCCTCGGGCAGAGCTGAGCGCGGGGATCACCGCCAGCCTGGCAGGAGCCCGCTTGGTGGGCAGGGCGCTCCCCCGGGGGAGCCCCGGCTGAGGGACACCCACCTCGCCTCGGGTACAGGCAGCGCGGCAGGGTCCAGGCCCCCATCCCGCTGTGGCTTCAGTGTGGCTGTGTTCCCTCTGGGCTGCRTGGAGAGGGAAAGGGGGGATATTCTATTTCAGAGAAAGGTTTAGTTCAAGAGGTGTCCTCCGAGCATCACTCTTGGAGCCCTTTCAGCGTGAAACCATGATCGTGTACAAAGCACAGGTATGCTACAAACTGCATGTAAATTTAAAAATCCCCTGAGTATAGACTCTCAGCAAGGAACTAGAGGGCCTGGAAGGCATTGCCCTTCTGGAGCCCTGAAGCACACTGGCCTCTGTCCTACTGCTAATAAAACRCAAGAGGCTTCTGTGAAGTCGCTGCAGGGGCCTGGAGAGCCAGGAGGGTGCTTGCTGCAGGGCAGGACTCAGCTCTCCTGCTCCCATCCTGTGCTGCAGGGATGGTCTTTGCTCCTGTTGGTTGCTGGTGCTGTAGGGAGAGGGGTGAGGGAAGGGGAACTGTTTCCAGCTCTCTCCATCGTTCGGAGCAGCAGGGTAAGTGGTCATGCAGAGAGGGTAAGCATTCGCCTGCTTATGTGTTTTGAAGATGTTTGTGGCAGAAACCTTTGCTTTCCTAAAGAAATCTGTAATTGTTTTGAAAGTATTTTTTTTTTAATATATATATTTATATAGTTTGGTGATACTCATGTGAGATACAGGTGACTAACATGTTTCTTTGGAACACGTGTAGGGGTGAATGAAACTGGAAGGCAAATGCTCTATATTTCCGTTTTGTTTTCTCTGTCAGATGAGAGAATCACTTTTCTTCCCTCACTTCCGGGCTAACACATTGTGCCATGTAGGTCCCCCTGATCACATCCCTTCCAAACAATAACATCCTCTCAGCTGGCAACTCCTGGACAAAGCAAATGTTTCCTAAGAGGCTAAAACAGATTAATCATGGAGTTCCCAAATAAAAACTTATATTAAAAAAAAACCAAACAAATGAAACAAACAAAAAGCTCCCCTGAAGTTTTTTTTTTTTTTTTTTTAATTTTAAAATGACCTGTTCCTGCAGATGTCCTGCAACTTGTGCGAGAACGGGGTGTGTGTGTATCTATGAGTACCTTTGTTTCTTAATTTCTTAATGTGGGGATAGAAGGTTCAGTTGTAATTTAGGGATGCAGTTTCATAACTTCATAGAGACTGCTTTTGAGTCCATTACAGTCTGGTAGTGTTTAAATGGCCCCTCAAGAGTGTACAGGATTATAGGGATGTTTACATGCACTTCTCAAATACAAACCCAGAATATGAGTTTCAAATTGAGGATAATCCAGGATCAGGAAGAAAGCRGTATTTATATAAAGTGCTGAAAGTAAAGGCAGTTCAAAGATGTTATGTTGTCATGGAGGAGGTGTTTGAATTGCATTGTACATTTTTGTGCTCTGAGTTTTGTCCTCATGAACCTTCACAACAACATGTCAGGATCAGCCTTCATTTATTTTAACTCCTTTTTTTTTTTTCCTTGATCTTCCCATCTGGCACAAGAAGCAGGTTTCTTTCATTATCTGTCAGGAAAATGTAGTCATAAAAATGTTTTTGAACAAATCTATGCATCTCCCAGTAGCGTGCTTCCTACAGTGCTCAATCCTTGGGCTTCTACTTGCAGTAAGTATTACAGGATCTTTTGTGATGGAACAACCTTGTGTATTATCGAAGGGATGTTTCTGCATTCTCTCATCGTGCCKGTGACACCAAAATTTGTTTCTGGGTGTTCCAGTGGCGTTTAATAATGGTATTTGTATAGATAGACAATACCTGTACTAAGCCTTGATAACCTGTGCTGGGTAACCTTTTTTTTGAAGGCTTTTCTAGGACTACACCCAGCCTGGCTTGTAGTGACAGGTTTGAAAACAAAGTAAGATTTTTGCCCRTACCAAAATATGATACGGTACTTACTTTCTTAAACTGGATGGGAGATTAAAATCCAGTATATCCTGTYAATTTTTTTCTTAGCAAGTTGCAGTCACAGAATTGTGTGATGCAACTGTTAAGAATTGTCTTCACCTTGACAGGGAATCTCATCACACTCTTTCAGGTGGTAAATATCTTTCCTAAGTTTTTCAAAGTTTGCACTTAATCTAACTTAAAATGGTTCATCTTGATGAGGGAGGAAGTGTTGACATATAGCTTAACTTGATTCTTGTGGCTGGGAGGAAATCCACTTACTGCAAATTATTTAGTGTTTTCTGAAACAGTTTCCATGTTTGAGCTGCAAAGGTGGTGAAGGGCCTTGAGGGGAAGCTGTATGAGGAGCGTCTGAGGACACTTGGTCTGTTCAGCCTGGAGGAGACTGAGGTGAGACCTCACTGCRGTCCACAGCTTCATGAGGGAAAGAGGAGGAGCAGGCACTGTCTCTGGTGACCAGTGACAGGACCTGAGGGAGAAGCCTGAAGTTGTGTCTGGGGAGGTTTATGTGGGATATTAGAAGAAGGTTCTTCCCTTTTTGGGAAGGGTGGYTGGGCACTGGAACAGGCTCCACAGGGAAGTGATCATGGCCCCAAGACAGAGCTCCAGAAGGTTTTGGACAATGCTCTAGGCACGTGATGTRCTTCTTGGAGCTGTCCCATGCAGGGCCTGGAGTTGGATTYTGATGATCCTTGTGGATCTCTTCCAGCTCAGGATATTCTATGKCAGATGCATTTTGTGTATCAATAATTATTTCTGTCAACAAAAGTTGTTCACGAGCCTTATCGCTCTCTATGAGTGGTTATTTTGATTTTATATTTTTTGTGTAATGTGCAAAGGGCTTTACTGGGCAAAGTGTACAAAATACAGCAAGTGCAATCTGTGGTTTGTATTCCACAAACGCAGTGCACCTGAGTTCWTTAGAAAACTCTTCTAAAAATTCCACAGGGAATATCCAAAGCTGAGAAAGGAGCGAATAGCCTAGAGTGACATCTTAGACCAGTATGTGCACAAGCATGTAAGGCTGCATGACAGTTGCTTAACGACTGATGGTGTGACATTGCACTTCAGTCACTAGAGAGTCATCTGAAATTCTTCTGCCCAAGGAGGACTACTAAGGCTCACCAACAAATGCATCCCTTTTTTCTCTTCAGGGTCTTTTGATGACATTGGAAAGTGTCATCCAGAGTGCTTACAGCATTTACTTGGTCTTGAAACTCAGGCCTTGAAGAAAAAGTAAATGTACTGTCAAATGTCTGTGTTGGTATTTGCCTGAAAAGACAGAAACAGGCCAGGTTAGGGTGACCAGCATGGARTTCAATGGCAGAGATCTTTGGAAGCAAGCAGAACTTGGTGAAAGCAGGACACTCGTAGTTAGACTGCATTTCGAGAGCAGCTGGGCTTTTGTGCCTTGGCCATTTTGAAGTGAAGTAACCATTCTACAGAATGATGTAGAAAACTGAACCATAACTGTGCTTTTAGAGCAGGGGATGGCATGATAAGCAAGGGAACACTAAACACATTTTTATTGCCAACCTGAACTTGGCCAACTTAGAATCAAAGTTCAGGACTGAGCCATAGAGTTTTAGTATTTCAGGCTGAGATTGGTGAAAATTACCTACTTGTGCTACTTTATACACAATGAATTAACAGCTTTAATGTATTAAAAATTCATGGTGGGAAATGGGTACGAAAATGACAAATTCTCACAAGACATTTCTGTCATCTGTTTTTACTTAATTTCTAGTTGTCACACATCTGACTTAAGGGAGGCCTGAAACTTGAGTACTGTAATTATTCATAAAGGGCTGTGATATTTCCACACTGTAATTCTTAATTGCTCTTTTACAACATCATGTCTGTATTTTAATTGTTTCTTTCGGGGAGGCAAGCTGTACTGACATACTTGTGGGAAGTGATGAAAGTCTAGGGCCAAGAAATACTCTTGGCCCCTGCCTTGTTTTCAGTCCTTAGGATATCACTGATGGAGGCCTTGTAGATATCCACAGTACATACTAGGATACTGCAGGTACAATAGCAATAATTTAGTATCAGTTGCAGTATCTAACCAGAAACGTTAGAATAGTGGAGTTACTTTTTTTAACAACTTCACTATTGCATGGGTCATTTTAGGCTCCTCSTCCCCAATCAGTCTGGGCATCAAGAAAAGTCCTGAGTTTCTGCATTAAGTTCTCAGTATCACCACTTTCAGTAAAGCCCAACGATAAAAAMAACCTGCAGAGTTTCTGGGTTTGTTATGGTAGTGCAATCAACCAACTGAAACCCTGAGAGCCAACAAGCCCGACAGCATGTTCTGTTCCTTTCTTGAACACTGAGAGCTGTCACTGAGACTCTCTGATGGTGCATGTCATTCTTCAGAGTCACCACACAATCTGTGCAGCACTGGGACTACCTTAGATGTCGTTTTGTCTTTCCTATTTAACTTGAYGTGACATCTACCACCATGGAGAATGACTTGGGAGAAACACAATTTGTCAGACCTCGCACTAGCAGAAGTTTTCAACACCCCACTTGCTGTGTGTGTGTGTGAGTGAGAGAGGCCAAGTCCAGATTGTCCTTCTCTTGGCTGTTTTAAAGACATGAATGCTAGATCTAAACACATTAAGGTGGTGGGTTTCAATGATGAAGGGGCTGTTTTCTGTGGGTGAGACATGTATCTGGCAGTCGCAGCTCTGAACAGCAGGCTGGGAGCCAATTAACATTGTAGGACTTGCAGTCTGGGTTTTGAGTACTGTGAAATTCTTGCTTCCAGCACTGAGATGTTAAGCTCTGCTGCTAACCTAGGACACCTGCAGCACCATTTCTTGTTGCTGTTAAGTGGGAATCCAGTCTTTCCCTGGAGCTTCCAAACTTGTTGCCCTGTTTCTAATATCCAACTTTGCCAAACTTCAACTGTATATAGGCTGAAGCTTTTTGTCATGGGCCTAAGGTTTAAATCTCTTGAGGGAGTTTCGGTCAAAACAGTGCATATTCTTTTGAACTTAGGGTGTGGTGGTCTTTTGACTGTGTTCAAATATTGTCAAAGGTATTTATWTTCAAATAATTTGTCACTTCGGTGTTTTGGGACAGGAACTCCAGTTCRGGTAGGGGAAATTACCTCTGTGTAGGGGATGTCCCCTGCGTTTTTATTTTTACCTCTGCTTTCTGTTCTGATTTGGCCAAATATATTAATGTTTGTATAAAATGGATAGCACGTGCTCAGTAAAAGTGGTTTTGGTATGTGTGTGTATATCTTTATTTTATACCAAATAAAATATGCATTGGTTTTATCTTCACTRAGAAAGTGCAAACCTCTTTCTTTCGCACAGAAAACGCAATGTGGTACAAGACATACAGTGGGAATTGAAACCATGTAACTATGGCACRGGCTGCATCACTGGGCTGAGCAGGGAGGAGTCTGTCATTCCTGTTCCCACTGATRCCTTTTCCTATCCCCTCTTTCCCTCTTGCAGTTATTTTTAAGGAAGACCCCCAAATGCAGTGTTCAGCTTTCTATTGCTTAATAATGGAAAGGGTTATAGGTGAGAGGGAGAAGACATTGAGGACAGATGGGGTAAACATGAGGGAATGGGGAAATGAATTCACTGTTCGTTGAGGAGACTGGGATTTTTTGGGCAAAGGAGTTGGGTGTGAGAGGAATGAGGGACTGGGATTTGATGAGGAGGAGCAGAAAGTTGTGAGTGCTCTAACTGGAAAAGTTGGCTAGGAGTATGTGTTAAGGAATGGATGAATATGGAAGAGGGCAAGGGTCTTCTCTTAGGAGAATCAGGGACCACGAATTGCAGTGAAGTGCTGGGAATTGCCCTAAGTGTATAGTTTGGAGGAGACAGAGGTGGAAAGCTCAGGGTGSGGGGGATGGAGAATAGGGTGAATCTGGGTCTGAAGTGCTGAGGGAAAATTGGTAAAACTTCAACTCTTGCCGTGTCTCGGTTCAAATGGCTGTGCAGACAGCTGGCAGTGGACCAGCCCCTGGTCCACAGGGCAACAGTGACTTGCCTTCTGCTGTSCCTGTCTCAGCCCACACCAATGCATTTCTCCTGCAAACAAGACTCCTCTTTCCCTCTGCATAAGGGATTTATTAACTGCTCCCGTACACTCCTAGCAGCATTGGGGTGGGATTCGTGGGAAGAAATGTTCTGCAAAACCAAAGTTTTAAAACTCAAATTTGTAAAAGTAAAGTATTTGTGCACCTCCTGCTGCTGTCRGGCTCAGTTTGTGAGCACAAGGGATGATGTGAGAGCTGTCTCATCCCACTGCCTTTGCCTGAGCTCCATTTGGGAGTGCCTTTGCAGTCATTTCTGCAGTGGGCATTACCGTCAGTCACCAGAACAGAGTCTGGAGGAGGTCCTTGTCCATGTCCTTGGTTCAAGTGACAGATGTTTGTGCACTCGATTTAAAAGTCTCATTTCTAGCGGTGACACGTGCATATCATTGACATCTATTGTTTTCAGTATGAGCTTTTCAAAAATGGCCAGGAAACCTCTTGTCTATGCACAGCGTTACAGAGATCAATGTCTGTGCTGCAAAGTCAAGCACTGAGGAGTCAGACTCARTGTCTGCTGCCTCCCCTTCATGCTCCTTATCAGTCATGTATCACAAGTGGTTGTTTTTTCTCCACTKCAGCATTTGGTCAACACTCAAGGTTGGACACTCCTGGAGCAGGAATGGATGGTGCAACGCAYCTGGCCCTGTGAGCACTGCCTGGTCTGTGCCAGAGGTTAGAAAGYGTGCAGGAATCTGGTAGGACACGGAAGGAGGTAAAAAGGATGGAGGCAGTGTCTCATGGCTGAGGCATTCAAAAGCTCTCAGAGGAGCTGGACCCAGTCCCCGGTGCCACAGTGTCTGTGAGATGTTAGACAAATAAGTTAGATTTTCTGAAGAGGCCAAGTCCTTATCAGGCTGAAGCTGAGTGACACTGTTGGTATGCTGGAGTTGGCTTTGCAGAACTGTAGCAGCAGTCACTGTTCATGTGTGCCTGGTCATGGGGCATTGGTGGTTCAAGGGGTGACTTTGAAACCCTGGGTGAGTTGTGAAAAAGGCAAATTTAGGTGGCATTAACATATTGTAGGCACCTGAGTCCCAAGGGGATGAATTAATATTTTTAATAGATAGAAGTATTAAGTGAAATAACTTCTTGGGGAGCACCAAGCTTCATTTTATTTAGTCTCAAAGTCAAGGCTGAAAAAGGACAGCGGTGCACAGCAGCCTGAACAGCAGTGTAGGAGAGAAGTAATCAGGCTATGAACAATACTGGCATAAGAACAGATTTTCGTACATCAGTAATAAATCATTTCACCCTGGAAGTTGGAAGAAGGTGGGTTTTTTTTTTAACCATGAGAACAGCATGGCAGGAAGGGATGGAAAAGAAGAGCCAACTCATTTTAAAATACTCTTATAATTCAGAAGTAGAAAGAAACTGATATGATAGACTACCMTGTAATGACAGGATATGAAGCTGGTGGTCCAGAAGCCCTGTGATCCATAGGAAGTAATGTACAGAGTGCTGAAGTCTCCTGAAAAATCAGCTTTAATGTACAAAAAGACAGACCCACAGTTTAAAGATGCTTTGTACATTTTGTTTGTGCTGTGTGAAAAGGAGGTAATGCTGACTTTTATGGAAATGTTGTTAATAGTTTGTTCTGGAGTACTCTGCAATAGATTAGTGTCTCATAACATTTCCTATGAGGAAATATGGTAATTGTACCTCTGCCAGTATTTGAATAAAATATACTGGAATTGTACAATAAATCAAGAAGAGCACAAACCCCACACCKTTAACCCAGTAGTTTTTATCCTCTTTTTCTTGAGAGGAGCTGAAGGGAAAGGAAGGGTGTGTTTGTCTAAGCAAAAGGCTGTGTGGTTGTTCCCTTGCCATGGGTAGAAATCCCAGCTGTGCCAGCAAGTGCTGGGTGTGGGACCACCCAGCCCTAGCACTGCCCTGGCTGTGGCTGAGCTTCTTTAATGCTTTGCCATACAGCTGGGAAATGATTAGCCCCTTGTTTATTTATGCACAGGCATGAAACTACTTTCAGGTGTGCTCTGGATAGGCTCTGAAGTGCAGCACTTGTTAAAATAATGGGAAAGGGCTGTAGGAGATCAGTTTGACTACAGCAGAGGCCCCTCTGATGGAAGGTTTGGAAACCTTTCCTTGGCTTTTCACAGTCATTTCAGCTGCTGCTTGAGCAGGGGTGACTTGAGTGAACTGTGAGTATTTTTCCCCTCATATTTTTTCCCTTTTTATGTAAAACATATTTAAGAACAATTAGTGATACTTAACTCTATCTCAAATGGATTTAGAGATGAGAGGATGGGACACTTRTCATCTGTTCCAAGCTGGTTTTAAAATCTTAAAGGATGAAGACTTCATCCAGCAGTCATTTACTCCATTATGTCAGTATGTCCACTGTTAAAAACTGCTCTCAATCATCTGTTTGAATCATTCTTTATTCAGTTAAAGTTTGTTACTTCTCTTACTGGATGCCAAAACCAGCCTGCTACCATTGCTCTCTGCTAACTTGCTCTCGTCACACACACATAAATAACCACGGGATTATATTTTTACACAACAAATCTCCCCTCCCCCACATACTCAGCTTTCAGGCTTATTTGTTTCCAATTCAGGTCTCCAATTTTTGTTTCAATAAAGCACTTTGGTTTGCTCATCCTTTCATATTGATCAGCTTCCATACTCAAATCACAGCTCTGCCTTGATGTCCCCAAATCAGATAACCAGATAAATTTTTCAGTGATTTGTGTGACATCCATTTCTTGCATGAAAAGAGGTGCTTTTGCTTACCTGAAAATTGGCTTTGGCTGTTCACRAAGTTTTTTATGTGTGTGAAAAGTGCTAGAAAGCAGGACCCAGTCTCAARCTGCTTATTTCTGATGAAGTGAGTRACTGCTGGTTATGCTCTGCAACAAATGARGATTCATTTTGCATCCTTAARTTGTAAATTGGAAATCATACCTCCCTATTGATTCTCTGTGAATTATTAAAATAATTGCTAGTCAACCATTCTAAGAATTTACAGTTAAAGCAATTATATTCAGATTGGATTATGATAATAATAGTAATAGTAACCATAAATAACAATATTTAGAAAATATTATTACAAGTAATAATATTTAGAATATTATCACAAGTAATAATATTTAGAAAATATTTCTAAAACTTAGCTCCTTAATGGGAAAGAAGTTAAAATTTTGACAATTAATATAGGTTATGTGTAGCTGCCTTGATAGTTCAGCCTTGGAAATTGGGTCTCCTGCTGGTTTTAGCTCTCTACTGTGGGTTAGCATGTTGCTTGTAAATTGGTAATGCTAACCCTGAAGGAAGCAGCTAGTCAGCAATTTTAAGACTGCATAAACTTGGCTCATTTCTAAACTGAATTTCAGGTTGCTTGGAGCTGTCAAAGTGTGTCTGGTCATGCCTGTACCTACAGCTTCACAGATTCCTGCCAGGAAGAATTCCAGTTCTGAGACACTGAGGTCCTAAGGGCTGACCTTGGAGCACTCCTCATCATGCAGAGAGTAAAAYTCCTTTACTGGATACTGAGCGGGTGAGTAATGTTCCAGTCCTCATGGCAAAAGGAATGTCCTTCAGAAGAGTTAGGCTGTGCCTTTAATAAACATTATTTTAAAAATCTTTACTATTGCATGAAAGAAAAGTTCCAGGGATAAGTGGGAGAGAAGTCTCTTGTGATCTGTTACAGAATGGCTAGAATAATTTTGAGCTAGACATTAAATTAATAATACTTTTTCATCTTCTAACGATGCTTTGATCTAGGGACTGCACAAGTAGTCCAGGGCCCTGCAGAAAATTCCTGGGACTCACTGCTGAATGCCGGCAGGACTTCATCACTGCTCTACCCATGAAAAGTTAATTCCAGTATTGAGCAGTGTTAAACTAGTGAAGATAAAAAGCATCTAGGGAGGTGATATTGGCTGTAGTATTGGAAATCTCTAACTGGAGATTGAAGCTGGAATTTGAATACCTATAATATCATATGTATTGTTAAYACAGAGCCAAGTTTGCATCCTTTGAAATCCTTTACATCCTGACTTGACAGTCAGGCTTTGGGATAACTGCCAAAAGGTAAAATCAGGTTGATTTCATACAAGTGCTTTCATACAAGAATAGTATTATTCTCCAAATAAAGTGTGAAATTCTACAAGAAAAAAATGCACATCCATCTTTGCAGATTCTGTTGGCTAAAGACTCAGTATGGACCACCTTCCTTTTTAGARGCTTTTTAATTTTTTTTTTTCATTTGCTGGTGCCTCTGCCCCACACATGTTTAGCATCTGTACTGAAGTATGCATCTATGGATAGCTTATAGTGACATGAGGRTAGTTCTATGTATATTTGACCATAGTGTGTAACAGTTAATTCCTTCCTAGTGAAGGGAGATCTGTAGAAATTTGCTGGCGTTCCCTTCTCCCTTGCTAAATACCAGTGTCYGTGGTAAATCACATCTTGCCTGGTTTATTTTTCCAGTAGGGTTTTACCAACGTGGGTATTTYTTGTGCCTGAAGAGACTTTCTCCCATGATCTATTAGATGAAAATTCACTCTGCACCTTGGGGTCTCCTCTTGTTCACTGCCTGAAGCTGCTCAACACTGCTGCTTCTCTGGGGTCTAACCCTGCTGTTGGCTGAAAAGTCTGACTGAGCTGATTTTGGCTGGAATAGTTAATTATTTTCAGAGCAGCAAGTGTGGGGCTGTTTTGGATTTGTGCTGCAGACAGCATCGATAGCACAGGGATATTTTCCTTATTGCTGAGCAGTGCTTGCAYGAGTCAAGGCAGTGAGGAGACTGGGAGTGAACAAGGAGTTGGGAGGGGACACAACCAKGACAGCTGACCCCAACTGGCCTCAGGGATATCCCAGACAATGTGGCTTCATGCTTGGCATGTAAAGCTGGGGACAGAAGAAGGAAGTAGGAGATGTTTGGCGTGATGGTGTCTGTCTTCCCAAGTCACCGTTGTGTRTGACAGGACMCTGCTGTCCTGGAGATGGCTGAACATCTGCCCATGGGAAATAGTGAATTGATTCCTTGTTCTCCTTTGCACAGTTTTTGCTTTCCCTGTTAAACCATCTTTGTATCAACCCATGAATTTTCTYCCTTTTGTCCTTGTAATTYCCTCCCCATCCCACTGGTGGTGAGTGAGCAAGTGGCTGCATGGGCTCAGTCGCTGTCTGGGGTTAAAGCACATCACTGACCCATGGATAACACAGTTCAAATCCTACTCTTCAGTCACCCCAGCTGGCACTTGGCCTGAGTGCTGAGGGACCTGGGTGGGAGCAGCTGGCTGGAGCTCCACAGCCGAATCCAGCCCCACACCATCTGTCTGGTCCAATGTCTAGGAGCTGGCTGCCTCCTGCACAGGGGAGGGCACCAGGAAAGCTCTGCTTCCTACTGAGTGCAACTTCTGTTTGCTGTTTTAAAACCTACCACACAAGACAAACTCACTGCTGTAATTGCACAGAAACAATTTTCTGCATAGGATGGCCRATGTACAGAGAGAAGTGAGGCATGTAAAGCGTGGAGAAGCGCTTTCTCCTCATTGCAGTGTAAAACTGAAAGGCACTGCTGGGCAGACAAGGCTGGGATTTTCTAGCAAAAGACAGGTGCATTTCAGTACTGTAATTGTTATAAAAAATTTCATGCYATAAACCAAGTTCCTGTCTATAACTGTGTCATGTGTTTAATTATTCTTTCCCGAATAAAAGGTGCTTTCAAGATAGTTGTACATTTACCTYAGATTGTATGTAATACATTTTTCAGATTGTATGTAATAATTTAGTAATTAAGTTCTATTTCTTATCCCATAATAAGAGAGCAGACATGGTTTTGTTTAAGATTTTTAATAGGGATGGATTTGATAATTTTATTTCATAATGTATCTAGAATTAATCACATTTTCAAGTGTTACCCTAGACAAAAACTGAATGTAAGCTATCACTTTCTATTCTTAAAATTCTTCTTAAAAGAAAACAGCTCCTAACTTCAAAAACACACATGGCTTATGTTACTTCAAGTGCTTCTTAGAAATAACTTTGTCCTGGACTGTGGATTAGTTTAGCAGGAAGAGTTTTTACTTTCTGAATTCACTCTTGGTTAGGAAAAGTAATAGATACCTGGATTAACAAAATTCAGTTGGTTTGAAAATACTGAACTTAGTCATAGCAGAGGTGCCCTAGTCTTGGAACAGAAGAGATATTAGATTGACAAATATCCTTTATTAAATATGTTTAAGAAAATACAGAGTGGCAGGGGAAAGAAGGACAGTGGGCAGAATGTCTGTAGTTCTTCAAGCAGAGTTAAATTCTGATCACCATCTCTTTTCATTAKTTCCACTCCTCCCTTGTTTGATCTAGTTCAAATATTCAGCTGATGTTAGCATACTTCTGACTAAAATTACTGACTATACATGATAGGTTAATGCAAGACAAAGCACTCTCCTCTGGTATCTCACACTGGGGCTGGATCTCTGCCAAGGCTCCACCTCATGTCCTCTCAGAGGACCTGCAAAGCCACCCACACATCACTGCTCTGGACAGCACCAGCAAGCAGCTTCTGCACTGGATTTATAGTGCAACAGATGGTTTGTGAGTTTAGCTTCAGTTCCCAGCATTGTCTTTTTAATCAGTCCTGCTGTCTTCTGCACACTAGCCAAGATGATTCCAAGCTCTTTCTTACAGACAAGCAGCTATTTTATAAGGCATTGCACTTGTGGGTGCACTGGAGATGCTTCTTCCTAAGCACGAYGCCACATTTTACAACCAACCTTGGGTTCCAAAATTAACTGACTGTCCCCCACRTTTTTCACTTTCCTCCTGACTCCCTTCTCCAGATTCAGCCCCACAAATCTCTAGATTACTGTACTAGTAATTTCTCTTTGTTGTGAATACTGGTGAAAAGAAACAGAGAATAAGAACAGAGAATAAATGGTCCATTTTTAATCCTCGTAGATTTATCCTTTTGCAGTGACTAAGACAGCATGAGCTTCTTGAGAAAGGACTTTCCAAATATGTTSTAAATGAAGTATATCATCCAGACCTCCTTTGTCTGTGTGATCATTCACTCTTTCTAAGAACAGATTTAGAAATTATAACTACTCTCTATTGCAGCCATATTGATGTAAATCTGTATTTTATTTCTCTACATAGTAACATTTATTTCTTGTACCTTTCAACCCTTACTGAAAGATGAGGCTATCAAAGCAACTGTTGGATGCTCCAAGGTAGGAATCATTAATGACATTTTAAGGAAGGGAACTCCTAATCAGTTCTGTACTGTGAGAAGAGGGCTGAGTTGCTGGCTTTGCCTTGAGGGAAGACCAGAGAGTAGCAGCCTTTTTCACTTCCAAGATAAAATACAAAGTTTATATGTATCACAAGGTTTATACGTATCAGGCCCCAGTAAGTTTTGCATTACTATCAGCCAAATAAGAAAGATGTATTTTTGAYTTGACTACAAATAACAACTATGATTATTTGTTCTAGTGCAGTCAATGGTGTAACTCAATATAAAACAATGAACTCCACAAAAACTACCCCCACCTTGTACCTGCTACTTCCCTGTGACTCCAAGGTCTCTTTGAAGGAAGTAATGTGAAGAAATGGAAGGATGAGATACTTTGCTGACCTACAACGGTAACACCATCTTCATACCTAACCTGAAACTTGTTGACAGAGCAGGAGCTCCAAGCAGCRCTAACATTTCTTCTCCTGAGAAAAGAATGCTTGGATGAAGCCCCAATAAAGAGGCTCAAAGCTGAAATTACTGCAGTATCTTGTCTACATAAATGAATGTTTAGCTGAGCTTGTACACAAGCCAGACAGGGGCAGAAAGCCCAGCAGGTGCTTATTCCCCATCCTCCACTACTACAATCCCCACAACAKGGAGAGCTTTCACAATATTTTTCTTTATCTCTCCTCCCCACCCACTGTTGTAGTTAAATGATAATCCCTTGGCACTTAACATCTTTAGTATACTGAGTTCCCAAACTAGGGCTCAGAGACCTGCACACCACTGGTGTGCTGAGGACCAAGGACCCAAGTCCTGGCACTGCAGAGTTGCTGTTCACTTTAAATTGTCAAGTGAAAAGACAGTTATCATTGTAGCTGTCAACATAAGGAAGAGGCTGTATCAGGGGATACAGTACTATATTCCAGTTCTACAAACCTCTGCTTACAGTAATTACTTCAGCATTGTAAAAGGCATTTGGGGCGGTAGCACTCAGTTTCTTGCACACAAGAAACCATGTTTATCTCTCAGAAGGATAGGACTTACTTAATATATATAACAGCCCTCCCTGACCCAGCATTTGAACTGTCCCCAGCTTGAACCTATCATACCACACAGGCTTTAGGTGCCTGAAGGGAAGTGAAGCACCAAAAGTTTTGGACAGAYTATCTACCACAGCAGTCTCAGTCAGGACAATATGATATGCTTTGAACACCTAGTGCATTTTGATGTTTGAAGTAACTCTAAGACAACTCCTGAAACCTTACTGATATGTTCATATCTTAAGTGGCAAGAGAGCAGGAGCTGTGAGAATGGTAAACTGAAAATTCAGGTTAAATGCTGCTTCTGAAATTGAGCATTATGAGCAGACTGAAACTAATTAGCAGGAAACCTGTAGCACCCAGCTTGTAACTGCAAAAGTAAGGCAGCTCAGCCTGTCTCCCTTAAAGGAAGGAAACAAAATTGGGCCAGCCTTAGATGGTTTACATTCTCCCTGCCTCGCCAGAACCAGCTGTGGGTCATGTGATTTTACTTCTTTTTCTTCACTTCTGATATCCCAAACTCAAATCAAATAAACTCACCTCAGGTGACCCCTTGTGCTGGAAGCTGTTATTTCACAACARCTATTACTAATCGGCTGATGCGATCCAGAAGAATGTCTTCTGGTATTCTGCTTTCTGGTATTAATCTGTGTCAACATCAAGACATTCAAGCCAAGCAATTTAGGACTGAAATTCAAAATCAGGCAGTGGAGGATAACCTCCCTGATTAAACTAAAATCTGGAAACAAAAGTCAAAAACATATTACAACACGGAACTGCATGACCTACTTCTCCCTGCCTCAGTAATAACAACTTCAGAGATTTTACTAGTTAAAAAATAAATCCAATTTATTTCTCATAGCCTAAAGTTAAGTATTTTAGCATTGCAGCAAAACCCTTTTAAGTTGGGCAATCACTTTCTCTGAGGGAATGCAAATCTGGAGGGTTTTTTTTTTTCAATTAGAAGTGGGAACGTGACTGTTAACTGCAGCATTTCAGATTATTGCCATTTAATTAATCAAATTTGCATAAGTTAGTGAAGTAGCATAGCTTTGAAATTGTACTCAGGCTCCAAAGTGAAGTCTGATTTTTCTGCCTCCCTCCCTCCTTTTTTTAAATCTATAGCTAATGTGATTATATGTGACACTTACTAGTTCCAAAAGGTTAAAAAAACTACAGGAAATAAGGATTCATAAAATTAAATTTTAAAGCAGTATTTTAACAAATGCTAGAACTAACCCAAATATTTTAAATTTTTCTTGGACAAAGATTGTGATTCCCTTGCATGCACCAAGAGAAATCCTTTCTGGCTCTGTATTCCTGCACATGAATCTGATAGGAGCCCTGGCTTTACCATGCCAGCTTTGGGGAGGTATTCCATAAGCCAGAGCTTCTCTCCCTCCCTGCAGATACCTTTCTCCAYCAGCAAGTTCCTAAGAGACTGTGCAGGCACCTAATAAAGCCTTTTATCCAGTATAAATTACAATGAGCTGTCTCTCCCAGTCAACATTCACTCCCTAGATAAAGCTTCAAACCCACCGGCATTTTGGATGTCTGCAAGTCCACATGGGGCAGTGCAAAATGGATTATTATCAAAAAAGTAGCAGAGGAATCATGAATAAAGCAGCCAAACCAGAAGAATAATTTTATTAGCTGAAAATCTGAACTGATTCTAATATTCAATTGCTTTATCACAACTGTTTGATTTCCAAAACAAAAACTTACACAAATTGCAAATATCAAATGAAGATATGAAGTGTCATTTGATTCTGCAACACAGATTCAAATATCAGACAAGCATTTGCACCCTGTTTGTATGTGTGCATGTTTGATAAGGCGCCTCCATATTTATCACACTGACATTTTCATAGAACTGCTCTCAAAATTACTAAAGGCATTTTAGAATCAAGAAAACATAGTAATGATGCGAGGTTACTTAAAAAGAATTGTTCAAAGTTGCTTTCCTTGCTCTGGAGTAGAAGCAAGTCAGTGTTGCCCTGTAAAAGCCTTTGATTTTATGATCAATTAGGATGGGGTGGTTTTWTTAGTTTTGCATTATCCCACTGCTCTTGTTTTAGATAAGGTGTGCAGAAGCCAACATAACTTCTCAGGATTTAGGACTCAAAAATTAAAGAATAGCAATTGTTTACAGTGCTGTTCCCACAGTAGAGCTGCCTGTTTAAACCATTTCCTGGCTTTGTAATTCACTGTTTCCTTCACACTTTCCTCCTCTTTCACTTCACAGGCTTATTTCTAGTGGAAGTAATTTTTTTAGAATGGCACTCCCAAAAATTCCAGACCAAGAAGTATCTATGGTTTTTCACTTCCCTATATTAAACTCTCCCATCTACCTTGGGAAGCAAGACTCTGCTCCTGCATTGAAATTAAGGTTTGCATGGACTGCTTCTTACAAAGAGTATTTTCCAATACAGAGACATTTGAATTTGYTAATGTACGTGATTTCAACTGATAAATGTGTTCAACCCATTCAGCAGCTTTGTCCTACTTTCTGCAAGTCCAGTTATGACCAAGATTGTTCGTTGGCAGTCCAGGGTATTTRCTGGCTTCTTTTCTCCTGGATGGTCTGCAGCTCCTGGTCATGGGTTGCCTTCCCTTTCTTCTAAAGTTTCAGTGGGTCATGAGTTCAGTAATTTTGGAGAGGAATACTCCCTGCTGATGCATCTGTAACTTCTCTGGTTTCTCCCCCAAACAATGTCCTCCCCYAAATGTTAAAGAAAAGCACACCAAGTTAGGGCCTGAGAGTATCCAAATTCCATTCCCACACTTTGCAGAGGCAGACATCATGTCTGCCAAGGCTGAGGTCAAGCATGTGATTCCAGGGAGCTGCTTCAGMGTTAAAAGAAACACTGAACCTTTCTTTGAAAGGCATTTGAAGCACATTAGTTCTTGGGATTTCACTGTCCAGAATAAGACTAAAAGACAATTTTCTGACCAATACTMTCTAAAGAAAGTCTGCAATTGAAGTTAAATTGGTATTTTACAAGGACAATCCCAATCTGATTCTAAAGACAAAAATCACAGAATTTGGTCTCCAAGGAGCAAGAGCAGCCTATTAGGGTTGCTAGAATTCCTTCCCACTGTGAGATCTTTTCCTGTCCCCCAGGAGTAACACATAGTAGCCATCATTTCATTAATAATAGATGTCATTTCAGCCTTTGCTGTTYACTTGCTTAAATCAGCTCTTCGGAAGTTCAGCCAAAAAAAAGATTTTTTTCTCTCCTCTGGTTACAATTCCTTTCCCCAAAAGCAATTCCTTCATTGTAAAATTAAATAAGATTTTTTTTTTTTTTGGTCTTTTCATAGGCCAGAAAACATGCATCCTTCGAATAGGGCTAGACTTGGTCAAGTACCAAGTATGTGATACTTCACCCTTGTTCAGGCTTATCAGAAAAGCCAGCTTCCATTGCATAGCAGACGTGTAACACAAAGTGTAAACACACTTGTCATAGTGTTCCTCCTTTCTGATCACTGGAGATTGAGCATCAGAGCTGCTCCTGGAGCCAGCATCAGCAGCACTTGGAACACCTCTCATGGAAAGCACCCTGAAAATTCCAGTGTTGCACCCCTGTTTGTAGCAGTGCTCTTGGCAGTCACAGGACTTGTTCATAACTCTTCAGCTTTAACTGATAAATTGCCTTTGGTGCCAGGGAAGTGAATTGGCTTTTTTGAGCAAAACATGCACAGACCTGAAAAGGGATTGTGCTCAGTGATCTTCATCAGGGCTTGTTACTCTGCACCATTTAAGAACAAAGCTCCCTCTTCACAGTATAAAACTTCCCATGAGGGGAAGAGGAGGGGCAGACACTGATCTCTTCATTGTAGTGACCAGTGGCAGGATCCAGGGAATGGCCCGAAATTGTGTCAGGGGACATTGAGGTTGGATACTAAAAAAAGGTTCTTCACCCAGAGGCTGGGCACTGGAACAGGCTCCCCAGGGAAGGGGTCACAGCACCAGCCTGACAGAGYTCAAGAAGCATTTGGACAATGCTCTCTGGCACATGGTGTGACTCCTAGGGATGGTTCTGTGCAGGGCCAGGAGTTGGACTTCAATGATCCTTGTGAGTCCCTTCCAACTGGGAACATTCTGTGATTCTATATTGGGCTTGGTTTTTCTACACAAAGACTGCTGGTCTCCTCACACCTCTTTTCTTAGTAATGTGAGACAGTTGTCACAGATCAACATCCTTTATAAATTTACCTTGGAGGAACAGACAGGGAGGTAGATCACCCATTAGAGAACACATTTGAAAGAAAGCAGACTAGACAACACAACTGCAAAGTTTCTCTGCAGCAGGAAGTTCTCGTACTGAGGTTAGCCCAATAAGTTTAATAGTTAAGGAAAAACAGAGTGGTATTTACTCACACACAATTTTATGAGAGGAACAATTGAAATGGCAGCAAGAAAAACACACTTTTTGGACAAACTGATATTACATCACATTAGTGGGCCACAGAACTCTTTAAAAAAATAAATCTTTTGAGACATGAGAATGAAAACACATTTTAGCATGCTTTAAATAGCTGAACTGCTCTTCAGAGCATACGTTTTCAGCTATTGGCAAAGACAATGATATCTCCTCATCTGGAAATTAAAAAGCATTTAGCAATAAGTTAAAGCTAGCCTACATGTAAGTGGGCTAAATACTAGTCAGAGATTTTTCCCTTTTCACATTTAAGTTGATACTACAGTTCATCACTTCTGTAGCTTATATGCTGTTGTGCAATGCCCCACTGAAGTTTCACATCTACTCTGCGAAAGAGAGCAAGGGTAAACAGCTTTCTTTTAAGGATAATCACAAATGGTAAAAACAGTAGTATTTGTTTTTCTGTTTAATTAGATGTTTGCTGTTTATCACACACAAGAACTGTAAGCAGAGTCCATGGATTCTTCTGAGCAATATGAAACAACCTGGTTCCATACAAGTTCAATACTGTCTCTCTCGCTCTTTCTTTCTCCCCTCCTCCTATCTGCTGTTTTCCCCAGCCCAAGTTTCCAAATATCTTCATATGAAAGAAAGTTTTACTTTGTGACTGCTCCCCAAGAGAGCCTGGCTCCAGGCTCGTGTTGGGTCAGGTACATCTTAGACCACAGGAATCTGGATGTTTTTCTTTTGAGGCACTAGAAGTTAGTAATAGTCAAGTTGCCCAAAGCTAAAGGGACAAGTAGCTCTCATTGCCTTCCTATTCAAACAGCTGGCCAGTGGAGAAATCTTCTTTTCCCTTTTTTTTTTTTCCCTGAAATAGATTAAGTACAGTTTGCAGTAAAAGATTCTCCAGYCTTTCATTCATGCATCTGTTGCCTTAATTTTTACTGTCCCATTTCACTTTAGTTTCCTTAACCTCACGAGAGAAGTTAACAATGGATCTCTCCACATTCAGATACACACACAATCTTTTCTGTCTCAATAATTATCAAGTTTATAGTTGTCCTTTCACATTCTCAAGCTAAGCCAAGACAAGCTCAGTTCTGTGCCGTTTTCATGTACCTCTCTTCTGAGAGAGAGAGCTGCTGCAGCTGAACAAGGCAAGTGCAGCATGCTAGTTATACTTGGATTCAATAAGCAGTTGGAAAGAGGAGAATAACCAGTTTTCTCATTTGTCTGTTTTCAGACATATAGAAAACCCCACTGTCAGCATCTTGAGTAAAAAATAGGTGACATCTTCAAACCCTAGTAAAACCACTTATGCATGTTAACTTGTTTAAATAAACACCCCCACCTCAAGTGACACAGTGGCCTGCAGTCTTCCTTGATCCATTCACAGAGCAAGAGTTATTTTTACTGAKTCAGTAATCATGCATTGTATTCCAGAGGAAATACTAGCCGGGTACCCCTGCTTGCAACTTCATGATCTGCTGCTCCCAAATCACGTTCCAGTGCTTCCTCTGAACTACTTTTTGTTCTCCTGCTGTCAAGGTTAGTGGTAGCTGTATGGGGGCCAGAAGAACCATTTGCAGTTATTGTTGTATCACCATATGTCACGGTAAGGTCACCATCATTCAGAATAAAATCAGAATCCTCTTCTCTAAGCTGTTCCTGATTCTGGAAAAAGAAAAAGAGAAAAATCTTTATACAGTGCACAGCACTTTTCTTTGCCCAGAACGAAAGTGAAGAATTCACCTACATGTCGATACAGAAGAGATAAGGTTCCACCTTAAGAAATGTTAAAAATAACCTTGAACCCAGTGTTTGCAAATCAGCTTACTGTTCCCTGTATAACTACTGCTACTGGGGAGAGATGAGAGGCAGCTGAAGCCAAGAACTAGGTTATAGAACAGGTAACCTGGGATTTAGTAGCCCTGGAAGCACACCAGAAGTACAAGGGACAAGTGGTACACACTGGGTTTTGCATGACARTTTAGAAGGCAGTACAGGATAAACACTGGAGATCAAGCACAACTGAGTCACTCCAGACACAGAGCTGCATCTGTTGCTAATTAGTCAAATTCATTAGTAAACTTTTCATGCAAACTGATAAAAACTCATAAGGCCCAAAATCTTTATATTCAAGTATTCCTCAACAGTTTTTTGTTACACATCAAGAACTAACAATATTCTTTCAAACTATCTCCTTACTTTCACCTGTTACTAAATAAAGAATTACTTGACCTAGTTCTTGGGAATGCTCCTGAGCCACAAAGGAATGGATACACGAAAGTGCTTGCTTCATAGCTTTGTAACTAGTTCTGATGTATTTTCTTTTCAAAATCCTTTAASAAAGTGGCTCACAAAACCCTGTGAATATATTTTGGCAGAGATGTAATGAAATATATGGTCAGAGAATAGAAATTATTGAAGTGTAATAAAACACCTGATTTCTCTATCACAGCATAATACAACAACAATTTTTGAACCGTGTTCCACTCCTGTTTGATATGGTAAAAGGAAAAATAGCCAAATTGGTCAGAAAATGGGCTTTCTTCATATTTGAAGAAAATTCTAATCCTATAAGAGCGCAATTATTTCCCTACATGAATGGCTCCATGCTGCTTAGCAGGAGCTGCAATGTATTGCTTTTCCCTCAGTAGGCTGGACACTGATCAGGCTACAATCTCAAAATACATCATTTTCTTCCACTGCGGCAAAAGAAGGGGGGCACAGGACATGTGGGATGGTCTGTGATCAACGTGAGCAGAAAGCCCTGCCTCTACTGCAGAACAGGAGTTCAGGGCACTGGAGATTGAAAATGCTGATTAACCTGTCCGTGATGAAAAATGCAACTCCTGGCTAAATAAAACTTCCTGGAAAAGCTTCCTGTCATTATGTCAGAAAGATAATCAAACAAAATAAAGCAGCAGAAGCCTCTAGATGATACAGAATATTTAACTAAAGAGGACTAGAAGAGGTGTCAGGAGTTTGCCAAAATCAACTAAAGAAATGGTGCAGTTCAGTGTTAGGTGCAAGATAAGCCCTGCTTAGAAGGAATGCTAATTTCTCAGAACCTTCATGGCATCCAAATTTATCATTGCTTTTTTGTGACAGGGTTAGTCTGATAAAGAGCACTATTCTCAAAGCACAAATACAGGTTAGGACACTTGCTTTCTTTGATTGCAAAGAAAACAGTGAATAACTGGCACCATCCTAAATGGAAAAGGCAGAAATTAAAGGGTTCAGGTATAATTGGCAGAAACAGCCTTTGCGAGCTTTTTGCAAAAAAAAGTAAGTCTGAGGTACAAGACCAAGATGATTAAAAGGGTCACAAAATAGTCAGTTTAAGAAAATCTGATATTCAGATATATATTGCTTTGAAAAAGAGACATTAAGTGAGGATGAAAATCAGAAAAATGAGCTACAAGCTGGCAGTTTGTGACTGTTGACTGATGATATTTTAAAAAGACAAAGAAGCTGTGAAGGTCCATCACACGTTCCCTTTTGTGGTGTTTGCCCTTGGAGAAGCACCAAGGAGGGGAAGGCAGGGCTAACAGAGCCCCAGWAGGTGTTGCCATACCAGGGCCATGGTATGAAGTGAAGGGGCTGCAGGAAGCTCCCAAAACACCTCCTGCCTCCACAATGCTGCAGAACAGCAAATCCCTGCAGCCACTTATCAGATGAGAAGCTGGTAAGACACACTATGCTTGAGCTTCCCCAAAGGRCTGAGGAGCTCTTGGAAGCAGATAATGAAAGAGARGGTCACAGGCTTTATGCTRTATGTCAAGTCCTAACTCAGTCTTKGCTGGTTTGTCCCAGGCTTACATGTACATAAACGTCATCAGTTCCAGAGAAAACACTGAGCTTCTCCCARGGTAGCAAACAAGCATTGGCTTGTACAAGCCATGTTCCACTTATTTATTTCAGTTCTGAGTACTACTGCAAGAAGCACGCATTTTATTTCATGTATTTCCTCAGAGAACACCCACAAACAATCTCGTGTACTATACAGATTTACTATGTTTGCAAACAAAGAGGATGGGTGAATAAATCTATCGTGAGTCGTGCAGCATGAACAATTCTTTCAAGGAAGAACGGGAAATGTATCCAAATAGATCCACAGAGACTTGAAATGCTCCCAAGAATAACCCTAAACAGGCCTCTGCAATCCCCTACGGTTCTGTAGGAAAAGCTTCAATTCACTCAGAAAACACAGGTCTGAACTTCACTACTTAAGCTGACACATTAGAATGGCTAAAAACTCTGCAAAAGCCTGAATTCTGCTTTGACAGACTTCGAGGGACCTCCCTGCATTCTGTCCTATTTGTGGTAAAATCTGTTCATKCTCCCAAGAATGCATGCTGGAGATGTTTTTTATTATTAAAGCTTTTTTAAAATGAGTTTCTGCTTACAAAGCCAGTCTTTATTGCCTCCTAAGACAATGTAAAAAGAAGCACAAAGAAAGTACGACACACATGCAAAGTGCTGGCAAATGCTGGTACTGAACACAACACAGGCACCAYGGATAACAAAACTTGCATCAGAAGTTATCTTATAGCTCCAAAACGAAAGCATGCAAAATATATTCCAATTTAAATCTGATGTTCCATTTAGTTTCTCTCTTTCTCAGCTGAAATCAAATTCACTAAGAAAACKAAAATTTTTGAATGCAACTACAACCACTAAGGGGGAAGCCTGTCTGAACAGATTTCTTACCCATTTTGAGAATTATCTCCTCCAAAGATTGCAAATCAAGTTCCTTCACTGGGCTTTCATTTTTATAAATTAATTTGATTTGTCTAGTTTCATGACAACCAAGTTGTCATCCTGTGTATGTGCAAGAACTAAACTTTAAAAAAAAGTGTGGAAGAGTGTGGAAGACAAAACACACCCCAGAACAAACAAACAGCAGCAAAAAARTATCCCCCAGAGGGCTTCTTTTAGTGGGGATTAATGACTGACAGAACAGAGAATTACTGAAAGTTTCAAAGGACATTCCAAAAGGAAAAGAAAAAAACTGACCTATGTCAGTTTGGAATAAGCTGGAAAGCCCTGCCAGACCATCATGCACTGAATAAAGCACCAGAAGAGAAAAATACTGTTTGAAATCATAATTTTCAAAGTTTAACTCCTAACTGCAGCAACTTTTTATGCCTTAAATTCCACCTTGTCTGTCAGGGTTGGGAACAGCCCAGKGGCACAGCCTTAAAGCAGAGGGAGAACATCAGCAAGGAACAGTAACATCATCTCTGGAAAAAATCCACTGTGCCTCACCCCTGTGTGCTGACTCAGAGCYTTACACATACTCCATGCAAATTGARGCTTAGAGGACACGATCTCATGCTGAGGAGTAAGTTGTGGGTGGGCTGCATTGTAGGATTATTTGACTTTCAGACTTTTGAACCCCCCCATTGGCACCTAATTAAAAAGACCTACTCCCACCTGTGGAAGCGAGAGTGAATTCTAAGTGAGGCTGTAATAAAGTCAGAGGAGAAAAAAATAAAACCAACAAAAGCTAAAAATACTATAGAAATRTACAGTTAGTGCAACCACATATTTGTATGCTTTCTTCTCTGTGTAGATGTCATAACTCAGACATGCACCTGGAATGAGATCCAGCATTTAAAATACTTGTTTGGGAAACATTTTCCAGCTATGTTATACTTTATTAAGTATTTACAGACTTTTTTTTTTTTTTTTTTTTTTTTAAATTTAACTCAAAGTCTTCAGTCTTTAATTCTCATAGGTGTACCATTTAATTTTCCTGGAAATACCTTAAAAAAGCACAACTATTCCAAGCAGTTTCAGTCCCCACAAAGACATGGCTGTCTCTGTTGCTTCACCTGCCTTTAATAGAAAGGCAAAAGGATTCCACAGCTTTTTAACCAGTAATGAAATGTCGTAGCTGAGTGTCAGAGCAAAGCCAGCCATGTAAAGAAACAAAAAGACACAAAGTAACTGCAGGGTTCAGAAATCTTGAAAAGAAGCTAGAAACAGAACTCCAAAATTTTATTCTTTCCAAGACAAATGCAGCTCTGCACTGAAACAGGAACAGAAMAGAGAATACAATATGAAAACTCCACATTATACACCTTAACAAAGTATACCATCTTAACAGCATTTTTAATAAAGTTAATATCCTATGTGTATCACTGAGCCAATCCATTAAATAATAAGTTTCCAGATATGGTAGTAGCCAACGCTGATGAGTAATGAGGAAAAAAAAATTAAAATGAGCCCAACTATTAGAGAAAACGAGAGGCAAAGCTTGCATGTTCATTCTGGTTAGATTCTCAGCTACTGGACAATTACTCTCATAGGATAATACATAGACAGAAAAATGGGCAAGGCACAAGTAGGATAATTGGTTTGATGGATACCTTCTAACCTAGACCTGTTTTAACGACTCCAGGGGCATTGCAAAGATGGGAATAAAGGCCGAGTTCTTGCATTGCTAATAGCTCCAAATGGGCAGYAGGCATCTCAAAGTTCTCTGAAATTTTTCTGTCAGGTAGAAGTAAGATGCTAATGATGCCCAGAAAGAAATGAAGGGAAATATTTCAAAGCTGCAAGTAGAATTCATAACTCTCTAGGAAAGGATTAATAAACAGCTGGTCCAAGACTACTTGAGCATAGGGATTTGAATATCCCAGAGAACTTGCACATTTGAGATTCTCACTTAGTACTATGGTTTTATTTACAAACAGCTCATGAAAATTTGTAGATTTCAGAAGCACTGTACACATAGGAAGGACAGGTACCAGGATCTTGCAAGAGTAATAGGAGAACAAAGCATTAATTAYTGCAAGACACGGCTGTAAAGACAGTGTAGTGAGCTGCTAGACTGAGATAAGTAACTGATTAACTGTTTCTGAAATCTCATCTCAAGTTTCGCAGTGGAAACAGTGAAGGGAAGCACTACCAGGTTTTTTTCCCAGCTGAGTAAATGTGTCAATGACATCTCTGAGGAAAYCTCAAAGTTTAGCAGTAACAGGGAAAGAATCTTGTCCAAAAGTCTTGAAAAGGGACTGAGTATTTTGAAGTGGTTCACTGAACTGGGTTGTTGACTACGAATGTAATTTCCCCATATCCTTAAATGTTTTGGGGATTTTTTTATGTGGTATTTGAACAATAAGATAACTTCTGATCTCAAACAACAGATGTTTTTGCCTCAGGGGAGAGTATCTTAAATTTTTTCTGCCTAGGACAAAAAAAAAAACCAGCACTTGCTTGCAGCATGTCTATCAGACCAGCTGAAACCAGGACATTACCTAAAAACCACTGATTTGCTAAAGTTTAAAAAATAAAAAACAAAACAAGGAAGTATTGAGTTGTTCTACTTACATCATAAACCTGGGGACTTGTCAGACAGCGGGCTATCAGGCCACACCAGCTGGGTAGAGTTGTGGTCAACGGAGGGCCACTGTGAGTGAGGATTGGCTTTAGATAACTTAGGTAGTTAAGGAAAACACACCAGTGCAAAAAAAAACCACGACTGAAAATAAAGAGACAACGGTACATAAATGGAGTTCTGCCTTTGAACTGTGACATGCAATAAAACATKCATTAAACACCCTCCCAGCCTTTCCCCCTTGATTGTTTCAAGTGAAGCCTCTTTACTCATCTTCTGCAAGGACATGTAGCTAACTTTATTCCTACAAATTTCAAACAGTTGCAACGTTTCCACCTTCTGTTCTCTCAGGCAAAGTAAGCAAASGTGCTTTAGTGTTGAAAGGTCCCAAGGGTATTTCTGCTCTGAAGATGGGAGCATGGTGTCAAGGCTGCAAGTGAGCATAACAAGGTGACATTCCTGTGTGGCTCAACCTAGGGAAATATAGAAATTATGTTCATTTAACGTCCTTAAAACAACATAGCCACTTGATCTGCTGGTTACTGAGCCACAGAGGTGCAACCCAACCATATATACTACCCTGGTAAAGCTCACAGACATTTCGGCAGGGCACAAACATATGCCACACAGAGCCTCAGAAAGGCAAAGGGAAAACTGTATGCAAGAACCATGCAACAGAGTGTGGAAGGAAAGCAGTGATACCTAGATTACTGAGGGGCATGGGTGTGGGAAAGCAAAGTGTCTTTACACCTCTGTTACAGGTCTGTGCCCAGGTAAATCCATTCTTTTCACATGAGTACTCCACACTGATGATAGGCCTGAAAAATACCCAAGAGCCAAAATATGTGTCTCTGTTAGAGAGCAACACGTTCATCTTGACTACTACACAAGTCAGTCTGATTATTTTAAATATAAATATATAACTTGCAGCATTCTAGTTACTTTCTTAGGCCTCTAAGTACAGAGAGAATCAAGTCCATTTGTAAATAGGAGCTGCCCTGATACTCCCAACAGACCAAGATGCTTAAGAGAAAGAGGGGGTTAAAGAGGGGGTTGTTTCAGCAGAGAGCTATCCCTTCCCYTTAGCAGAGGCTGGCATAGCTGTTTACTCGAGCAGAGTTATGTTTCCTCCTTTYCTCCTTCACTAAGAGTGTGGTTACACCCATTCCTGGAAAGAAAAAAGCTCTTGGCCTTGCACTAATCCAGGCTCCACGCTGCCCTGTGGCAGACAGGCAGCAACACAGCCGTGAAAAAAACAAACCCAGTTAAAGATACCAGCTACTTCATCCAAGTTGCAGTTTTTGCCATGTTTAACAGTTGTGGGTGAGCCCAGGGAACAGCCCACGACATTAAATGAACTCTGCATTCCACAGGAATGAAGTTCCTGCTTATCCATGTGTGCAGAGCTCTGCAGGCAATAGTGAGCTTTGGAGCAGRCTTTTCCATCACTTTCTCACATCTTTTTCAAGTTAAGCTCCCTCGCAAAGAGTKAGTTTTGAGGCAATCTGCCCTTTCCACCCAGAAACCAAGTGAATGCATCAGCAAAAAATATTTTGACATTTACCCGTGGATAAGGAGGTGGCAATTCTAAAGATCATCCCATCTGTGCAGCTTAAGCCCACCCAGCCAATGCTTATCTGAATGCCTTCTTCCAAGAGAAGGAGCAGACTTTTCCCTCCAACACACAGCAAGACACTTCTGCCTCTCAGTTTCCTGGGTACAAACTTCACAGAAACTTTTCCTAAACCTTGCTAGTCATCACTGAGGAAAAACAAAAAGTGAATGCACTCTAAGGATCCTTTGGTTTTCTGTGAAATGGGTAGTTAGGCTATAATTTCCCCCAGGCACTCTCCCCACCCTTGCTGCAGCTGCTGGGGAGGGACTGATCTGTGCAAGTGTCAGCCGAGGGAAGTCAGTATTCCCAACTACTCCTTTCATCGGGCACATCCCTTTTGTAAGGGCAGAGGAAGAGGACAGCCCTGCTTCCTTTTTAAAAAGACAAAAGARAAGCAGTCAGCCACAGTCAGATCCTTTCATGTTTTTAACACAGAATGGGGTTTTTTCTTTTTTTTCTTTTTTTAATTATAAAAATTGACCTTGGGGCACCTTGGAACCAGCCACTAGAACTCCAAGTGTTAACTTGGAATTAAAAACATTTATGAATATTTAAACTAGCACTTACACTCYCTTCTGGGCTTTGGGTCACAACTACTGCATCTGAAAGCATTGGTCACAAACAGATTTTATCCCGAAGAGGCAACTGCTATTAGGATMCAAACACTTCCATCATGCTACCTGTTTTGCCCAGGTGGGAAAGCCTCATGCAGACGGTGTGGAAGGAAACCACTGTGCTCCAACCAGCCTGGAAGTCTCTCATCAACCAAAGGCCAAGACTCCAGTGTAAAAAGCTCAGATGCCATTTGCAAGAAAATCCTGTCACAGGTAATTGTGCATATTTAGCTGCCCCAGAAATTGCTAGGAATTCAGTATTGAAATTGCTTTGAGTTTCAAGGTATAAATGACTTGCCATGGCCACAAAATTATCTTTGCCATTTTCTGCTGAGTAGCTGTGAGCTGTTGAGGAGAAGCAGCTGTGTGACATACTGATTAAATGAAGTAGATTAATCAAAAACCAAAACCCACAAGCATGAAATACAGGACAGCTACACAAAAAATTGCTCATAATCTTAAATGAGGTTATCTAAATAGCATAATAATAGCTTCAGAAAGGTTGTACAGTTCTATATACACTCAGAGACACTCTGCTTTAACACCCATAGTAAGTCCTGGATATACTTAAGGACATAAGCTAGATTGTATGTAGATTTATAGTTCCAGAACTTTCTCTTTGGAAATCTATCACAGATTTTGGGACTTCATCACAAAAGCAGATGGCTCTGCAGAGCAATGAGTCGARGCTTAGACATGTACAATGAACTGGAAAACTAGTTTGCGCTACGAGCATCAGTGAAAATGAGATTAATAGAACAAATCAGAGGACCTGAACTRGTTCATTTTCTGTCCTATTGTTTAGGAAGGTGCTTCATCTCCTAGAACTGACTGGTTTCTGTCCTCCAGCAAGTGTCATATGCCATGCATCAGGGAAAGGAAAGGTCTGATGCTCAGACAGTGAGTTCAAGCTTCAGTTCTGTGCCTTGAGTCTGTCAAACACATGAGAGAGTCAAACAGGAGAAAGATCAGGTGYKTAAAGCTACATACTGATACAWGGAAAGGAGAAAGGTGAACATTTGAAAACACAGCTTAGCTTCGAGGCATGAAAAGGATACTTATGGTCAAAGCTATACCACAGCCTGAAGAGCCAAGCACTTTCCTGYTTCGTCCTGTTCCTTCGCGCAGAGTCTTGGCCATCCTAAAAGTAAGACAAAAATATACTCAATTACTTCAGGCAGACCCAAAACTATACACTGCAATAATACATATTATAATGTCCTGTCCAAAAAAAAAGCCAAATTACTTCGATATTGTACTTGGAATGCAGAAGAAAGCTGTTAAGAGACTTGAGTTTACTTTTTCCTAGAAAGACCAGAAACATGTGCAGAGTCAGGCTGCCTTCACTGCACTCAAGTTAYCTTAACAAGCCCTCTACCACCAAGTTCCCTGGAGCCCAAAACCTTAACTTACTGTTAGTATTGGATATAGAAATAACTTCAAAATTGACAAATAAACCTCATTGATATTCCAGATTGATTCCTATCCATTGCTTGACTAACTTTCTTAACTCCAGGTCTCGGTCTAACTCTAGGTTTAATGTTTTCTTCTTAAGCCTGTTGCTTCCTTGGAAGAACAAGGGAAATTACCATATTTGATAAACTCTCAGAAACTGGATGAAATACATCACAAGAATATATATATATTCAAAAGAAACACACTTAAAAGAAAACAATATAAAAATCACAGTTGAGGGAGGTCATGCAAATCAGAAATGCTGGATTAACCTTGAAAGGGCTAACAACAGTGTTAAGTAGAATTTCTTAACTAGCTGTGCTGCAAATCCTCACACCAGCTGGTCTGCAGCTGCATTTGTTTTTACTTTTGTTACTGTTTAGTGTCTGAGTGTTTTGCTTTGTGTTTTTGTTTTGTTGTTTGTTGTTCGGGGGGGGGGTGTTTGTGGGCAGAGGCCAAAGTTAAACACGGGAAAACAGATGAAAGCCTTGCATGAATCACCCTCCAAACTACTGGAAAAGAACAAGACAGGACTGTACTTTGTACTTATGACCTGCAAAAAAATTCATGACCCACCAAGAGTTAAAGCTTAGTACATTTTCACTCCCTCCCCAAATGATATATTTTCTTTAACTGGGACATACTGCTAATCTTGGCTTGGTGAAAGSAAGATGAATCCAAAGGGAACTGACCAATGAACTACATTAATAATGCAATGCACAGTCCAGAGGGAAACAAATGGGTAAGTTCTTTATGTTTACATGGAAAAAAAGCAAACAAGGTATTTCCAAAGCAGACACTGAATGAGAACACAATACCCATGCTCTGTTTCCCATTAAAGCAATTYCTCAGTTACTGACAAGCTCAGTCTGAACAGGCCAAAGCCATCTTACCAAGATAACACTTCCTATCCTTGGTTTTATTCAATAATTGTGGCCTTCATTGTAAAAGGTATTCTGAGGCCTATAGTTCTGGTKGATTCCAGATAGTTACAAAACAAAATTCACCCTTAGTGGTGGCCAGCTCCACCATTTCAGCATCTATGCTGCGTGCTGGGCACAGGCTTTTACAAAGAACACAGAGATGCCAAGAGCAGTTTCTGCAATGAAAGAGATGCTCCCTGAGCAAATAACTCTTGTCTGTACAATATGTGACAAGTAAAGAAAAAGAAAGGATAAAATAAAAAAAAAAAAAACAACCAAGCCAGGGGAAACCACTAAGTACAAAGCTAGTCCCAAATACACGAGTCTATCTCCAAACAGCCTAAACACCAGCATCCTCACACAACACTTGCTCCCTAAGCATCCTCTGGATCCAAATTTACCTGGCATTCAACTGCCTCTGGCAAGTTCCCACATAAGCAACAAGCTGTGCTGCTAAACAATGTGTCAAGCAGAACTCTGGGAGAGTGTAAACCAGGTCTGGACAGAGTAAACTCCCAGTTAAGCCTGAGGAATTTTTGAGTTGTTTTTTTCCAGACCTTTGACTCCTTCTGTGAATCAATCAGTTTATAGATGAGCAAAACAGAAAATTCTGCTATGAAYAACATTCTTTCAATGATCTTGTTTGACCAATAGCATATTTCAGGGGAAAAAGTCAACTCTTGGGTTGTTAATGATGCACRGAAAGCTTCATTAAAGATTCACAGCAACAGTTTGCTGAATACAAGTGGCAATTTTCCAGTGCTCCTTCTGCTTCCTCCAGGTGGTAGGTGGTCCAGGCAGGATCCAGCTGGCTTGTCATTCAGTAGACAAGAGCTGAGATCAGATTAGCAAACAATCTTGGATTCTAAGCAAGTCCAAGGGCCAAAATTTGATACCAGTTATGGAAGAGGASCCAAGAGTAATTACCTCTGAACTGAGAAGAACTATTTATGCAGTAGGATGCTAAAAGCAAGCACRTTGGGTAGGTGGGGGAAGAGGAAAGATTATTGTTAAATAGAGTGCATTAGTAGATTTGGGAATGTTTTGGATGCCTTATGTACACACAAAAACTTGCACATGACAGCATTACACCCAACACCACTGAATGTTTTCAGTGGGCTTTACTTGAATATTATAAAGCAAAATGCCCCACTGACCTGCCAGCTATGAGAGAAAGGTTTTATCCATGCATACAACTTCTGCAATTCTCTATTTTCTTAGTTATAAAACAAGATCAGCCTAATAGAGAAGTTATGTAATTACTTACTCCTTGTAAGACTTGAAAGCTGTCGTTAGTAGGTGGAGGGTCCTGATCTGGGTCAACCCCAACCCTACAGAAACATTAGGAAAACAAAGCAAGTGGTGTTACTGAGGGTTGCAAATGCTGTAAGTTTGGTAGAATGCATTTTAAAAGCACTTTAAGCACCCAGCAAAGCTGCATCAGAGAGGTTATAAGAATAGTTTGAAGAAGAGTTGTCCATTATGCCCCTGCAGTTACATAGATATGAAGAAGATAATTTTTCACTCAAGAAGCTGCTATGAATCCATCTTGCCATCAACTTTAACTGCTTACCTTTTTTTGCCAACTCTTTTACAACACTAGAAAATACTTTTTTTTGCCTTAAAAAGTGGATGGCATCCTCTTCAGTGGAGAGTTTCTCACATGCCCAGCAGGAACGAACCAGAAACTAAGGATAAAGCCCRGCCTAAATCTCTCATACGGCATCTCTCTTTACCTGCCAGATAAACCTGAGAATGGCTTAAATGTATGATTTTAAAAAGAGTACACACAGCCCAAGTTTTRATGCACTATGGGAAGCACAAATAAATACTTTATAAAGAGTCACAACATTRATTTGCTGCAAGTCATTCCCCTATGACCACAACACAGCCACAGAGGACTAGCRAATGTCCTGCAGTCCAGCCTCCCAGGGCAGGAGGCAGGGCAATGAGACGGTGGGTGATGACAGAAAAATATGTTAAGAACAAATTGTCAATTAGCTTTTGCATAGTTAGCAAACATCACTGAACCATCCTTGCACACAGGCTCCTATCCAAGATGTGCATTTGATCCTTGTAATTGTGTTCAGRTTTTTCTGGTCTGTTTTGGGGGTAGCTGCTTGGTAAGACTGGACTGGTCTCTTTTAAATCCGATGCCTGCCTTAATCTCTGTCACCTGTAGAACCTAAACCTCCAACCTCAAAAGYTAGATAAGATTCTCAGTCTCAAATGTGTTGCGTTTCATTTCCACCACATTGCATACTAAGTGTGGGAAAACGCATGGATCAACCATTTCAAACAATAAGATTTTGTTAATATTGTCACTTCTCTTTTCTTAGGAGGGGCTGAGCTGGTTTAGTGCCATTTCCTTRTTACTTAGACTTTTTGTCAGCTATTCACAGCTGTGGTGTTTCTGCAACCAGAAACCAGATCACCAGAAACCAAGAGAACCTTGCWGGTCAGACCATTTGCGTGTCCCAGGGACACCATACTTGGATCATATAAAAAGAAAACACTTTCAAATAGCTTCCAGGGCAGCATTTTTTCATAAAACAGTAGAGGAAAAAAATTTTTAATTAATCCTTGTGGACTGACAGCTAGCTTAAGGCATCACATGAGTTAATGTAGTTCAGGAAAAATATAGAAGGCTGCACTGCAGCAGCCTCATATAAAACTAGTGTTGACCCAATCCTCTGCTTGGATTTATTTTCTTTTTTTCCCTGAGCCTCTTGTCCTTTCCTCATCACTTCCTTTTTCTGCACATAGAGTCATCTTTAACTTTAGGTACATTTAACCTGGCTCTTTAGGCACTTTTATTGGCAATGACCAGCCTCAGAACTGAAAAGCTTCACCAGTTTAAGGGAGCACTGGACAGACAGATTGAGTACTGGATTGTAAGACATGCTAAAATAAAACACCACATACAAGAGTTCTGAGAGGTTACAAGGGCTGAGATGTCTTTGCTTTGACTATCACTACATAAGAAGCGGTTTTGGCAGAGAAATTGGTTATTCAATGCAGAAAGCTGACAAGCAACATCAGGAAATTGACCCAGTACRGCAATATCTATATTTATAAGATTATACATTCCTGTATAAGTACAGTGAAAATAAAAGTATTTCTGGCTTTCCARACTGCAGCTGCACATGGGGAAAGGTTCAACGTGCTGTGCACAGCAACCAAGCTGGTGTTGGCTGTGTAAGTGTGAATGGGGAGTTCAAGAAGCTCTTTCCAGAAGACGAACATAGCTCACATTCCCTGAATAGTTTTTACTCCCTGGGTTACCTATTCACTTCATAGTACAGAAGAAAACCAAACAATTCAGGGTCTCAACTTTTACTTGACTTACAAGATTGTGCATTTTTTTTGAGGGTTTTAACTGCCCTTAGGCAGGGGAATGGGGCTTAATGGAGGACCAAATCAGTATAACCACACTGTTCAGTGAAAAGTCATAGTATATCACAGTGCAGGAATTCAGGTTCACTGCTGTGCTGAAGAGGAAAAGAGAGCTTTTCTATATTAAAATACCAAGTTTTAGGGAAAAAAATGACTACAAATGTTCTTTTCAGTATTGAAATGGTATATCCACACAGTCTTGTCCATTTAATTTTTTTTCAGTTATCTTTCAGATAAATTTATATTTTGATTATTCCCAATTWATCCCTTTTCATAAATCACCTTTTAAAAATTACTGTTCCTCAGTTCAGAGATAAAAATCAAATACATTTCCATTTTGATTTTTTGCAGCTACATTTTGTGTCTTTCAACGGTATGCTCTTATAATCTACTCCAGCATCAACTTCATAGGAAGTTGTATTGTTTGGTAGCAAACCTGTCTGTTTAAGTTTCAAGGTTTATATACCCTGATCTCATTACAAGAATCATGTTTTCTTGCAGGTTCAGCCCCCAGAATTCTAAGGAGCACTCACCTTTATCACCTGAAACAAAACAATACCAATAAACAGTCAAGTCCCTCTCAACCTCCTTTACAGTGAAGGGAAGCTCAGAAAACACTCAGTCACTTCATCCTTGCTTAACTACTTCAGTAATTAAAAGTATGAGTAAAGCTGATATATATGTCTTCAACATTGATTTTCTTCTTTTGATTAAAGAAAAAAAAAATCTATTTCACATGCTTAATATATTTAAAAGCTTCCCGTAATTTAAATGTGCTGTAAAAGCCAATATAATCTCTCATTTATTTATAGTTTTATAAATTGAGCTATTAGGGGATGGATTTATATGGTTTTATAAATTGAGCTATTAGGGGATCCAGTACACAAATCCACTCCCAGAGATCAGGGGCACAGAGAGGGCAGCCTTGCTAATGGCTGGGCTGTTTTCCTCAAACCCCACAGAGAAAGGCAGGTGAGCAAGAGCTGGGTGAAAACAATGTTTTACTGAAGAGGCACAGCCTCTGTGACAGGGACTGAGGGGCACAGCAGCTGTGGGACAGCCAAGGCCAAGGTAGTGCAGGTGCCAGCAAGCATCTTTGWTTTCCCTCCACCCTTCCTGAAAGCACTTTGCAGCAGTTGTGTGTGAACTCCTCCAGGGTGCACAGTAGCAGTTCAAATGAGTAACTCCTAAAAAAAAGGTTACAGATGAAGAATATGAGCAGTCTTTAAGCGTAACAATGCATATATGTTTCAAAATTTGTGAAAAACCAATCTATTTTCCCCTTTGGAATTACTTTGGTATCCAATAGATACCTTATTCCTTCAGTACCAAAAATTACTWGTACGTAAAATTCAGACACCTTTATTTCATCTGTGGGAAGTYCATTGGAATCTGTAGACAAGAGTATGCTATAGGAAAAATTAATCCAATTCAAGTGTATTTCTTCACTCCTTCCTAATGAAAATAAGTTTTAAGGCAAAAAAGGCTTTTCCTGCTTAAAGATCTCTGTAACAGAAAAGGGGTTAGTGTTGAGCTCCTTATGCCCAACASCAAAGCACAGCATTTCTGCCCTTAACTGACTCCTGACCTTCTTGGCCCTTATCCTACAGCTACAATTCCAGCATCACATATAGGAGAGCAGCTACTCAGATTTGATCTCTCAAATACTAAGCTTATGTATAATTCAGCAATTTAAACAGTGTGGGAGAAGGTGGTTGACACACAAAACAGAACTAAGTGGATGGAAATGAATGTTAAAAAGGCAGACAGAACKACTGCAAGTTCTCTACCACATCATTTAAAAATGGGTGGAATAATTTCTTCTGATACTTCAGAAACTTTTCCAAGGCACTACAACACATAGATGACAAGTTTTCAAAATATCAGGCATTATTACATTCAGCATATGTAATTATTATGGCAACAGCCAAGAAAGACAGCAATAGATAATAATTCTCAGATTCTCTGTACAAACCAACATMTTGCATCTCTGGCAAATCTGGTAGATTGCTGGAAACCTTCAAGGTACATGAAAAACTTTTCATTGCCTACCCCAAAGAGCTTTCTTTACATAAATAGTCTATGYATTTTTATATACACACACACATGCATCCCCCATAGATGTCAGTTTGAGATTTATCTTATTTTAAATTCTCTCTCTAATCATGTATCCATTCTAAAAACACCAAACCAGAATCCTAGTCTTCTCTGGTTGATAGCTCTTTGTTTTTAAAAATACATCCCCAAAAAGGCCTGGCTAAATCATCAGTGAAGTTCCTTCCAGACTAAAGTGTTATATGAAATAACCTCAAGCAATAATTAAGAATACCTTTGTGATTAAAGATCATAAGATCAAATCCATAATTTTCAGYTTTCAAGTCTTCCAAGACCAGAGATTCTAGTTTTGCTCTATTAAATATCTATACACAGAGATAAAGAATGTGGTGTTTTATGGTTTCATWTTTTGACTAAAGACAGGATGTGAGACCCACACTCTCACAGCTCAGAATGAGTGAAAAGACTCAGAATAGAGGAATATCTACAGCACTCTCAGAAAAGAAGCAGCAGCAGCATGCCACAGTATAGAAAAAGAGCACACACTCAGTGTTACAAAGATGAAAAAAGCCAAGCACCAGGTTAATGTGGCATCAAGGAAAGCACAGTGTCACCTGAAATAGAGCCAGTGGCTTTCACTCATCTCTTCCACCGATGGAACACGATCACCAACTCTGGTACAGTACAAGAATGCAATGTGAGTAACAAGATGCTCATGAAATGGGGCTTTACAGAGCTCTTCAGTGAAACAAAGCAAACAAACACAAAAAAAAAGAAATCCTACCCAATCAAAAAAGACAAATCATACATGAACAACAATGACAGAGCAATGACAAAGTGACCAAAAAAAAAAAAACAAAATTAGCAACAATCTATGATTGACATATCTTTCTTCATTCGTTCAGATCCAGGCTGGCAAAGCATCTACATCACCCCAAAAAACACATTCAGGAGCTCTCTTTGGTGCTGCACACRGACAGAGCCAATCTCAAATAACTCCTACCACTTCAGACCTGCACAWGGTCTGAAAGACAGAGAGTCATTGGAGAAAGAAGCTTTACCTACATGAGAAGGGTCACCAATACTACCTGGCTCCAGAGCACTCCAAACCAACTGGTAATGAGCACTAAACTACTCCATTGCTTTAACTATCAAATTTTTATTTAATCTCCAGGCATAGCAGAGTCTGGTTTCACTCCTTGTTTTGTCTTTTCAATTATGTTTGTGGGGAGGGGGTGGTTTAGGTACAAATGAAAGCATTTTTGTTTCCCAGCATCTTCCACATACTTTCTTTAGCAGCCTGTGGAGTTTTTTTTTTTCCCCAGATTTTCCCATGAAGGCATGAATCAAAAACTATATATTAGTTTATGTGAAATAAAACCCCAGAAGATCAGAAATTCTTAGAGGCCTCACTTTAGAAAAAGCAGGTGTGCACACCCTGATTGCAGGCTGACATCTTGACTGACCAAATATTTAAGGTCATAGCTTGTGATATGAAGAGCATGTACTCATCTAATCCTTGAATGTCAAATACCAGACTAGATAGGTTTGTTTTGGATTCCAGGTTCAATAGCTCTTTTCCCATGCCAACATMCACTCCAGGTCAGAGTACTCTGCTCCCCAAGGCCACCACTGAGATGRTTCTGCATGTACAGCAAAAACTAAAATTAAAAACTGCCCAATAACTTCCCTCCCGCAAATCCTTTCTCTTTGCTGTGTCTTTGCCAAGTTAGTATACTAAAGTTTTCCCAGATGTCTGTAATAAGTGCAGCATTTTTGGAAAATTTTAGCTATTTTGAAAGAGTTCAACTGCTTCTCAGAAGATTGCTGAGAAAGAAGAGAATTCCCACCAGCATGTTTAAAAAAAAAAAAATAAAAGCCAGTCACTAAAGAACCTTGGCATTAGGAAAAGTTGTCTCAAGTTGTTATTAGGATGCCTTTGGGTATTTGTTTACTTCACCTAACCAAGACAAGGACTCCTGAAACTGCTGGCTGGGGTTTGCCAGAGCTTGGCAGTACAATTCACATMATCCATGAGCTCCAGATGTGTCCTAACCCAACTCCTAGAGTGTCTTCCCCAAGCTTTTTCTCTCTGTTGTGAATTATGGTGTTTCATTAAGAAAAATAGAGGCACAGAATAGAGAAAATGAAACATTTCCCACGCTTAATTCCAGACTTTCAGAGGAAGACGTAATCTCTTTCCTACTAAGGGAAAGGCCCAGAGGAGTGAGGCTGGAGGCTGCAATGCCCCACCATTATGAGGGAATCACAACTAATTATGAAAAAAACAGAGATTGGGAAAGAAGGAGGAAGATTAGAAAAACAAGATAGGAAAAGACAACTGGAGAAAACAGTACAGAAAGAGATGACAAAGAAAAAGCCCTCAATAGAGGGCAAGGGACAGCACCTGTGTCTGTGCATCTGCCTCCAAGGGCAGCAGAGAGTGGCCAGAAGGCAATGGAGGATCTGAGTTACARAATAATGGAAACAGGCTGCAAAACAGGAGGATGTAACCCCCTACCAGACATCCCCCACACCAGCCTGGAGCACAGCACCAGGCTGGATYCCAGCATCAACACTCCCCTCTGCCATCCCAGCACACCAAGGTGTGGTATTTAAGAAATGCACATTTTATCATTGGACCACCCTGGGGAAAAGACTGGAATATAACCACCAAGCTGACAGTTTTACCATCATCCCTGATAATCAGATATCCCACATAGCAGCAAGATGAGAGTTAGTGTTTCCAGATTTCTTTTTCAGTTAGCTTTTTTACAGAAAAAAAATTATTTTAAAAAATCACTAAATAGAAAGCTATTTGTAAGCTACTATATGCAAGGTCAGACATAATGCAGTAGATATCTAAGCTGACATTCTCTGTGCAGCCCATAGCTTTTATAACAAAAAGAAACCTAAAGTGTTTTAAAGTGTAAGGTACAATGCTTTGAGATTTATAAAGGAATTGCTAAGTAAAACTGAAATTACTTCAGTAAAATAAATATTAACTTCCTCATTTGCAGCAGCTTATGAAGGAGGGGAAGGCATTTATCTGTGTGTTGCTTCATGCAACATGAAAAGTACCAGGTCACTACCCTCTAATGAAAAATGGAAAACACATTGTTCTGCAATACAAATGCTAGGAGTTCCCTTTTCTTCCTGTGACAGATAAATGAAACAAGAAGTCAGCTTTTTTTTTTTTTTTTTGAAAAGGGGAATTTCACTTGTGGTTCTGATTTTCATGGCTCTCAAATTTGCTGACACTGTTAGAGCTTCAGACAGGAAATTGTTTCTTTGTTTAGGTCTTAAAGGACGAGATTATATTTTTAATATCCAAAGAGTTTAGTTTCTAAGAAAAAAAATCTACTACTAAGAAAATGACTGTTTACCACTTAAATGCTTGGATACGTCTCACTGATAATCAGCCAATGAACTCAAACACATGATGTCATGTCTTTAACTCCAGTTTCTGTTGTTAATTTTAATTTGCTCAGCATCAAGTGGCAGAAATCAAAATGGGTCTAAAGATCTAATTATTTTTTCACTCAGATTTTGAAGCTGTGACCTCACTTTTCCAGCCAGTTAAGCAGTAAACTGAAGTTAAGCCTCTGCTACAACCCATAGATCCGTTGTTTAGCTGTACATTAGCTGATAATCTATCCTACAAGGCACCTCCTCATCCAAATAGCTGAAATTTTCAGAACAGCAAGACAGTATTTTTGCCTATTTTYCTCCTTATGCTGCTCTTTACATCCCCAAAACCTAATCTCCAAGTCAGCCTCTCCACCCTTTACCTACTTTCAATACTTTCATACCATGGTAGGGAAGGAACCAACAGCGAGTAAAGAACCGAGCATGCATCCCAAATACTACCCAACTCGTGGTGTGGCCAGAAGGTGTGTGCCTCTGTCTCTAGGGCACAGCAAAGCAGGTCTGGATCCTCGTGCAGGTGTTGCCCTTGCATGCACAGAGCTGCTGCCCCATGAACTCGGTGGTTTTGGATGGGGCTGACWGTCCTGGCTGGAGTCAGCTCTGTGGYTCAGCTCTACCTAAATCATGCAGGYGMCACCTTAAATAAACCCCTTTGGTTTTGATGTGTGTGTCAGCTCGTGTGCCTGCAGCTCCTGGGGAAGGAACTCAGCCCATCTCAATCCACAGGAACTCCTTGAGGGGCCACCCAGAAACCTCACCACTGGGCAGAGCAGTATCCACAGCAACACCACTCCCTGAGCAGGCAACCTACATGACACTAAAGGGTCAGCCTGAGTGACTGTGCATTAATGCAGGCCCTTGTCTTGGTAATCACTTGGTAATGGCTCACTGGCTCTCCTCCCTTCCTTCCTTCCTTCCACGGAGGCCAAAGTCAACCAGGATACAAATAATATGAACTTCACATCAGAGCTGGACTCTTAGGAGTCCCCAAAGATCCTGCCATTAAAGTCCAGCACACACATGGCATTAATTTTCTGCATCCTTTCACTTTATCTAGGAAACAAACCACCTCTTGTCTTACAAACCCTTTTCTGACAGATAATCCTGTATGTGACCACTATCCATTTCCAGCCTCTGGCAATTGAACTTAATGGGCAAGTGCCAAGGCTCAGAAAGCATCCTAGGGACAAGTGACCGACTGCACAGCCTCGGGACTGTGTCAGCCCTATAAGCTCTGCTGCTGAGGGAGGCACGGGGACTGCAGCTCATCCTCATCTCCTCCTGTTCACCTCTTCCACCGGGTTGAAGGGGATAGAAAAGAGATATTTGGCATAATTTTAAAATTAGGCTGGAAATTAATTTTCCTTTTTAAAAAAAAAAAAAAAAAAATCTGTAAAACCAGGACTGCTTGTTTTCCAGCCGAGAGGGTTCTAACCATTGAGGGTGCCTCCCCGGCACGAAGATCCTAATTCTCGATCAGCTGCACACGGCCGCCATCTCCTGGCACAAATCTGATTTCCATGCGGTCCCAAAAGGCGCATTTTCCGTCTCTTTTCTCGGCAGGTCAGTGCCTACCGAGCCAGCTGCAGGCAGACCCATGCAGTTCTCTAAAATGCTTCCTACGCAGGGCTCCCTTGTTGTATGTGTTATCCTTCCTTAGCAGGGAAATTAACCATTCATTTTCTGTCAACCGTGCCAAAYAAGTGACAATTAAAATCACTGCTGACTCGCAAGGGTGGGTAAATCTCTCCCCAAAACTTAGAGCTAAACACTCAAAACTGTTTCAGTTGTTGCCTTTTGGCAGTTACTTCTCAAGGAATGGAATGCCATAACCTTTGCAGCCTTACAGTTCTGCCTTGTTGGCCACACTAATGACCTTTGCAAGCATAGCCACCCTGAAATGTTGCTTCTTTCTGGTGAAAAAGCCAATTTCCCAATATTTGCTGTTATTCAGAGCTGAGATACTGTAAATCACTGCTGAAACATCTGTCCAGCTGGAAGCATGCTGTCTTCTCAGAGAAGAGTTCATTTTTTTACCTATTGTCACAATCAGCTCACTGAAGTTTTCCAAAAGCGGTACCAGCCCCTGAGGATGATTAGATGATTAGTTCTTCTAAAGACTGAAACCAATTTTACCTAGGATGTTTTTTCCCCCCTCTCCTGTCACTAAAGAGTGAGATACAAATTCTGGTTAACACAATTAGAAAACAAACAAAACAAAAATTTCAAGGGCCAAAGGGCACAAATAATTTGCATATGAAAAATGCACTAAATGGCTTGTGCAGCATGTATTATTTTAATTCCCCTCTATCTTTGTCTCCCAAACTGCCAAAACTTTCAGAATTATAACAATGATTGATTCATGATTCTCTAGCACATCTCTTGGTAAGTATTCTCAAATATGAAAGTACTTGTAGTCAAAAGTACTAAGTATGAGCCAGGATTTATAGTCAAACATCTATAATCATGCAATTCTCTAGTGCCATATAAACTTCATATTATTCTCTTTTCAATATAGGGCTGCTTTATCAACACTATTCCATATCCTATTGGACAGACAAGGACCTAGATACCCACTTGCAGAGCATCAGAGCACCATTAGGCAGAATCCTAGAAGCATCAGYACATTTTCTTCACCAGCCTGCACTAGCACTTTTCTCTATAAAATACAGTGTTCTAAATACCTAATATATATATGTGTGTATAAAATATCATTTTTTAAAAGCTTCTAGCAAGCCTGAAACAACTTGTGCAGAACTATGCCCAAATTAGCACAGCTGCCTCTTGGAAAAGTGCCATTTCCCCAGCAGGGAGCTGCATACCGACCTGATGTTCAGCCAGGACAGCATGGGGGTTGTACCTCCTCCAACAATCCACACGGTGAAAAAGACGATGAGCAGAGTTGTTGAGAACATCATTTGGTGTGAGTAGGTAGCAGTATCTCGTATAGCCAGAGCAAATGCCATGGCTCCCCTGAGACCTATCAAAGAGAACGAAATAACAGCTTTGGAAGGGCAGCTGCAACTGTGAACAGCACAGCATCTTTCCTTGTTCCCTTCCCACACAAAGTGCCAGGCAGAAAACACTGGGCTCCAGCAAGTTTTAATTTCCTTTTAATCAGCAAGTTTTAATTTCCTTTTAATTTCCTGATAAATTATGCCCTGGGATGATTTACAACAGAATGTTTCTGCCTGGTTTCCTGTGACTTATGGAATCCGCAAGTGCTATGAAAAGTTGCAAATATTTCCAGAAACAAACAGAAGCAAACAAGTTATGGACAACAGCAAAACATTATGTAAGCCAAGCGGCTCCCTGAATCCAGATGAAAATTCACACTTTTCCAGTTGAATCCGTAGTTGAAACGTGAGTCGTTGACATGACATTTTTATCAGTTAGAAAAATATTCTACTTAACAACATGGTCCCAGGCAGACTACATRTTCCCCCCTCTCCCCTGCACCCAATTACAAAACTTCACTAGCAAGAACAAGCCATGCCATTGGGCCATCTGCAGATTTCTTATTTAGAGGAATTGCAGGATGGGTTAAGGTTTTAAGGAACCCCTGGAATTCATCTGGTCCAATTCCCCTGTTTGAACAACCCCTTCTGAACCTGGAGTATGTCACACAGGACCATGTCCAGATGGCTTTTGAATATCTCCATGGATGGAGATGCCACAGCCTCTCTGGGCAACCTGAACAATGCTTGGACACAGTAAAAGGTTTCAGGATGTTCAAACAGAAAATCTCGTGTTCCAGTTTGTGCCCATTACCTCTGATCCTGTCACAGGGCCCCACTGAAAATAGCTCAGCTCTATCCTCTCCACACCTGCTTGTGTACAGAGGATTCTCTGGAACTTCCTGAGGATGCCCATGTTTAGACACACAATACATAATTTCCCTTAAATGACAAACTTAAACCATTATCTGCGTGACAGAAATTATGAGGCAGTTTAAGGCAAATACCTTTTTCCAACTAAGTGGGAAAGGCCACCCATAAATACGCCTCAATTTTCTCAGTAGGTATCTGTTCCTGCACAATGTGAACATCATCTCAGGCAGAAATAACATTTTGGAAGAGATACATTCCAGTTCTCCCATTCCTTTCAGAAGTAATTCTAATGAAATGCTCTATTCCCAGCTTGAGGTGCTGCCTGCTGTGAGCAGTAGACTTTCAAGATGTCACTCAGACCAGACATGGCACACTGTGTAAAGGCTGAAAGATGCRTGATGGCATGCTCAACAATCAGTAAGATACATGATRGCATGCTCAACAATCAGTAAGSCTTTCATTTAGGATGCATGGACATGGATCATAAAAGCAGAAGGTAGCACTGTTCATTGTTTTCAAGTTAAAATTAAGACTTTTTGCATTGCCCAGCATTTTTGCTCTTACCTGAAAACATCATCATATGCTGAAAGCTCCAGCTGATCTTATGCCTTCTGCCCAAATTCAGCAGGAAGGAGAGGGGGTAGATATGTGCAGCTCTGCCCAGAAAGATGGCAACCTGTTTGCAGCTGAGGGTTAAGGATTTCTTTTTCCTGAGGCATGCATTCTTGGGTACCAGGCTTTAACATGAAGCTTTCATTTTCCTGTGAGGTTTACATCACAATATGAAGTTCTTCCTATATCTGTGTATCTAAAGGAGACTTTCCCCAACTTTATGCAACTTGTGCATGCAGAAGTCATTGCACAAAATGCAATTTTTATGAAWATAATTGAGTTTTTAAAAGCACAGTGAAATTATACCTGGTATTAAAATGACAAATTGTACAAAACAAGACTTTTCTTTGAAAATTCCCACTTTAAACAATTATCATCACCATCATTCAATTTTTTGTTTTGGAACAATAGAAATGCAGCCACATGTACAGAGGAAAAACCAGCGTAAGGCTGGCAAGTGGCCACCCCATTATGGCTCCTGCAGAGACAAAATCTCCTATTAGCTAGCAAACACTTAACAGTACAGAGCTGCTAAGAATATAAATGCAAAAGCCACTTGTCAGCACTAGAATGAAATTCAAAAAGAATAGTGAAATAGTACTGCATAGATKGATGACAGTAAGTGGTAAGCACCTTCTCTCCCTTACTGTGGTGCAAAAAATCCAGGGGTTCCAATGAAGAARCAGAAAGCTGAAAACACTCTTCACTGTACAAGGAACACTTGGGGAAAAAATAGCATGGTGGGCTGAAATCCTATAGAATGCCAACACAGCCAGAAACTCCATTATCACTGATCATTTGCTGCTGGGATGGGAACATTAGGAAGAATAAAACAGCTCCCATGGAAAAGAAATAAAACCAGAGCTCTAGACAGCACTGGGTTGTTGCCATAGCTAAAGTAAAGCAATATTGTCAGCAGGGAATGTCTGTAGGAAAACCAGATTTTGATTATTACTTTGTACAATTACCYTCATTCCAAGAAACTTTTATATCAGTCCTTTTGAGGACTGCAGAAATMACACATGAGAAGCCATCATGACTGATGTATGTCGGAACAGCAGTAAGATTTTGCCAAGGATGCTGAGGCTCTAGCTCTGCCTYTGCAGTCCAGCCTTTCACTTTCAACAACTTGTGATGCCTCCACATTGCACCCCTGCAAGTTGTTAACTCAGTGGGGGCCATAGGTGTTGAGGTAAAACACAGGTGCTAGTTAGTGACCCTCCTCACAAAGGYAGAAAAACACTCAAGAGGCAGCAGAGGTTAGGGGCAGTGGTAGAAAAATATGTGGAAAATGTATTAAAAGATAGGTGAGCAGGAAAAGAAAGCAACAACTACTGAAAACAAACCCAGGGCAGACAGTRTAACAAAACGATGGAAGGCCACACCAAGCATGAAAAATTGCAATTGCATACCAGATGCAACTATTCTGTTTGCRTCTATCCAGTGTCTGCAGGGCTCTGGAGCATTTTTTAGGTCAGAAAAGTGGATATGAGGTGACGCAGGAAAAATTTGTTACTATTTCAGAAAAAAGTAAATGGCCGAAGGAAAATAAAGACAGATGTGATAAATCCTGAGAAGTAGTACAGAAAACTGTAGAAATAAGAGAAAATAAGTACATCCCATACCAGGCCATCTTTATACAGTCTTTTCCTGGGTTTTACCTCCATTGCCAATAACCCTACTCCTACAGCAGGCACAGGGAAWTCAAGCCTGGAAGAGGAGTTCCCCTTTCTTCAGGCACACTTTTAATGGTGCTGAATTTTCATGCAGCCAGGAGTATAGTGAAAGCTTAGTTACACAATCTATTTCAACAGGGGCAGGATGCAGAGCTTACATGAGTATGACTACTACAAAGTGTTCAATTCTGGGGAGTTTGAAAGTCAGGTACCAAGTCAACCAGGGACAATGGCAGAACCTTTAACTGTGTACCCTTCATGTCATGGTCTGCACCCCAGTTCAGTTCTTATCTCCTCCCATCACCCAAGATGTTGACCTCTGGGGCATTGCTCAAAGAGAATCTATTCACCCACATTCCTTTTTATATATTTGAGGTTTGCTTACTGACGGGGCCACTGAAAGTGAAGAGAAAAATGAATCCTTTTCTAGTTCTCCAAAGCTCAAATACAAGAACACAAACAGTGTTGGCTGTCAATGGCCAAAACACCCAGTAAAATATTTTCATTTATTTATCTAGGGAAATTATGTGACTTCTAACATTTAGGTGTAAAGCCAACAACTCTGTGGCACAGAGGCCTTATGGCTTTGATGTAAGACATAACCAAAGATTGTTCTCAAAATTATTGTGCCTGCAAGACTTAGGGGAACCTTGGGCCAGCGACCATTCTCTGTGCGGTAAAGACAACAGACATCGTGAGTTTTCAGGCACTTAGAGGCAAAAGAGAAACCCCACACAACTTGAAAAGGATACAAAAGCTCCGATAATGAAAACTGGGCTGAATATGTGTTTCTGGAAAGTAAACAGTGCCAAGCCCATGTAAGAAAAGATGAAGTTCTCAGCCAGGAAGTGCAATACCTCAAAGAGCTATGGAGAAAACCATCACATGTTAAAGGCCAAGTAAAAAAGAAAATACACATACTAATACAGCAATGSAATGTACAAAAGGTAAAAGACATCCTTGCCTGCTTCGTGCGACTTCTTGACTCAACTGACAGGTTATTGTAGGTATAGTGTGCCTGGGTAATTCCACAGAAGAGGACAGCCACCACACCTGTGAACAGTCACATGTAAAAATCAGCCTGTTAATTGTCAGCTCTCCACGCTTCCTTCACGAGCTCCAGTGAATTGACACATCATTCTTAACCTTGAGATTCTAAGAATCTTCTATTCAAGTGAGTGAGGTACCAGGTTAGGGAGGTGGTTTTTAAATCAAACCATTGCTTTTAAAAGCCTTTGTTACTCAGTGAGCTGCAGCTTTGACATTAAATAGAATGAAAAAAAAAAACCAACCAAAAAAACAAAACCAAAAAAAAAACCCAAAAATTACCAACAAAACAAATTTAAGCACAAACACGATGCTTCTCATTGAAAAGTTTAAGTGAGAAAGAGGAAATGTGGCTGCTTAGATAGACAGGATTTCTGTCTCCATGTGCTTGAATCCCAGCAACTCACCAGTAAATCCGCAAGCTTCTGCAAGCAAGAAAGTGCTCCAGGACATCAAGAAGAAGAGAGCTGTTTCCAGCAGGGGGAAGCAGTGTAACTTGGTAAACTTCGTCACGTAAAGTCACTCGTTAAGGGATCAAAAAGAAATCCTTTGGTTTCTCTGTTCCCAGTATTTATGAGAAACACTTTAATGTACTAACAGCCAGTGCTTGTAGGCAAACAAAAAACTAAAGATGCTAAAAAATGTGAATTCCAGCACATCAAGGCAACCCTCAGAATCAACTTGCAGCAATTTGTTTTGGATTTTTTTTGTTGCATATCCATGGAAAAAGTGTAGCTCCACCTCTTAGAGGCAATATTTTCTAATTCTATGTTTCTCTTCGAAGTGCTAGCAAGTCAGGAGAATATACTTGGCACTCCTTTTAGAATGTGTTTGTCTTGTTTTTTCAGGGGATTGGTGGGGGAATGTTTGGTTCCCCCTGCCAACCTCAATAACAAGTCCCACTCCTACCTTCAAATAGAACATAAAATGCATTCAAAAGAATTTAATTCACAGGGCTGTTCTTGACTACAGCAACMCTAAGATCAGTAAGACTTACAAGAATTTTTCTGCTCAGATGTGTTAATAAGTTTTTTCCAGCAAGCATGGCTACTTCAGTACTTTTAAGGCAAAAAAATTGCTTCCTAAAAAACGTATTTCCTCTCCTTGTGCTGATGGGTTTTAGAGAAAAAGCCAACTCAGAGAAACTCAGTCTTTCAATAGAAAGAAAAAACAAGTTTATCTTACAGAGAGCAAAACCTGAGGAACATCAAAGCACGCACTGAATTAACAATTCATACCACCMCTGAGGAAGTGGAACAGATTTCAGTAGAGTTAAATTTAGCTCTTCACACAGTACAAAAAAAACATTGTTCACATATTTATAGAAGCACTACTGTGGCAGCAGGTAAACACTGAACAGCACACTATCTGAGGTGCAAACAGCTATGCACAGTTCACATGAAGGCAATCAGCACCAAACCTCCGCTCACACCTTCTTCTGGCTGACATTCCCTGCKGACTTGGCCTAGGGCAAACATATGCTCCAGACACACCTTCAGCSATGACCTTACTTTGTCAGAAGGTTGCCCTCAAAACCAAGTCCAAAACATCATTAAAAAAAATAATTCTCCATGCTGGCATTACAGCAAATATAAAACACAGCATATTTTTAAACAGCTGTTAATTCTGCACAGAAACCACCTCTAAAACTTATKAGCTCAGCTGAATTCCTCCTCACCACTTCCCCCAAACAGACCTATTTTCTAAGATCATGCTCCTGAAGCAGCAACATCCACCATAACAAAAATTGGAACCCATTGCCCCACAGAAAGCTCAGATAATCCAGTGCCTGGGATGTCCAKGGATCTTAATGGATGCCTAAGGAAACTGGATTGCCACAGTCACTCCATGGGAGAGGAAGAGGTTGAASCTTGTTCCCCTGAAGTTAGGCAAGGGGCCTTGTCAGAACCAATTCCTCATTTCCAGTTTATTCGGGCAACTTTGTGAATCAAATAGTTTATTCCACTTGATGTTATTGTAAGTAACCATACAAAAAAAAAAAAATTAAATCTAAAATTAAAACCTGTGCATCATTTTGGAAGAAGATAAATGTGAGAAAGGCAGGAAAAGAAAAACGTTTTATTATTTCATATAATCAAATTGAAATATTAACTGAAACTAAATTATTATTTCTTTTTTCTTAATTGTTTTCTTTATTCCTTAGACACAGCCTTCTATTATTTCACTTCTGTAATTTAGGAAGAAAATACAAAGCGGTACTTTTCAATACTTTAACTGTTATAAGAATAACCAGAGACAGCTTGCTGAAAGTCAGAACCAGTCCTTGTATATTATCTACATAATTTGAAAACTAAATATTTTATCCGTTATTAAGGGACAGCGCATGAATCCCTCCCTCAGAGAGGTACAGATATAGGTGCTTCACACTCTAGGAATAAAAATCCATTAACTTAATCTTTAACTTACAGGTTCTAATCAGACATGAAGAGTAAAATGCAAATGTAGTTTGCTATTACAGCATTGCACAACATTAAGGATGTTTCCAAAAGAAAACAGTAACATAATAAACCAAAGAAAAAGAACATAACAAAACCAAAATCTAAAACAAAAACAGAAGAAAAAAACCCTCACCATACATACAAAATGCCACCACAGAGTCTTTGTTGTGAACAGCCTCACATCCCCCTCCTGTGCATTAAAATTAGAGAAAGCAAGATCTAGTTGCTGCTTCAAAAGCATGATTTTACAAAGTGGATGTGAATGCATTTCAGTCACAATTAGTAGCCAAGCAGCAAGCCAAAAACCACAGCAAACAGCAGTGAGAGCTATGGATGGCTGGTAGCCTAAAAGCCAGAGGAAGAATTGTGGCTCTGGTCACATCGATTGCAGATCAGAGGAACTGAGACTGAACATTAATATATCAACAGGAGATGTCTTTCAAGACAAATAATAAAAAAACAGGGTTCCAAATTTCATAAAAAGAAACTAAACACTATTAGGATACGCCTGTTTAAGGTCCTCCCTTGGCTTGTTGCAGCAACATCACTAAAACTTCTAGTACAGCCTCAATTATATTGGAAAGAGTTGATTTATGGGAGTACTTATATCTTTCTTTAGAAAAAAAAAAGTCTCATGAATACTGATCGTATTTTCACACTCAGAATTAAACATGCTGGAGTCAATTTTGCTATAATTGGAAACATGAAACCCTGATAATACGCACATGTGCTATCTCAGCTGGAATAACTAAACATGAAAAAGGATATCAGAGCTGTCACAACCCCTGTCACTGCTCCCATCATGAAAGAACCACTGAATATTCCCAGGAAAACACCAACAGACTTGAAAAATGCTGCTGCATCAAAAGCATGGGTRTTTTCACCTGTTGGCTGGTAGGCAACTATAGATCTAGAAAGAGAGAATACAATGAGAAGTCAGAAGTGGCAYCAGAAAAGATTTTTTCCTGTAACACCATCTCAGGGAGATGAATGAGACAATCCCATACTGAAGGCATGTGTCATTATGGCCYGTGTCTGCATTAAGGGTCTTGGCAAGTGTTTGCAGCGTTTATCAATTCAGTAAAACTTAATCCATTTAAACTTAATGTTTCTCAGAGAAAGCATTTATTTTCAACAAATGCCAAAAGCAATTAAGCAACTTTGGAGTAGAAATCCACATATTACTTACGAGGATAATACAATGGCAACAGCATCATTCAACACGCTCTCTCCAAACAGAAGGGCATAGAGATCCACATCAGCATGCAGCTCATTAAATATTGCTAGCACGGTAACTGCAGAAAGAAAAGAGAAAAACAACACTGCAACAACTGCACAAGCTGATGGAGCAGACTATCCAGTTTGGTTAAAGCAACAAAACCCAGGAACTGAAGTACAGGATCAAAACTAAAATGGGAAACAGAATAGTTGTGTCTACCTACAGGTAAGCAATTTCTCCATCATTTTTAGGGCAGCTCCATCARGAGGTGGCTCTGGTGTCCTCCCATCTGTTCAGGGCTCATAGAAAGGCCCCATGATCAAGGGGCATGGGACAGACTAAGCACTTCTACCAAAGACCTGTTATTATTTCAGAACATGTTCCATATTAGACAATCAACAAAATGTTGTGCAACTCTTCCTGCTTTTAAAAGCTTCATGGATTGTTGGCTTATTATTTCAGCCATGGCAAAACAGAACAAATAACCCTGAGTGTTACCCAAAGTATACACTATGCCACAGGTGTGAATTTCCACATAATTTAAAAAGGATAAGAGTGCTAAATATTTATAATCATTCTTTCAAGAAACTTCAATCTGAGCTGAAAGACCATGATCTTGAAGATGTTCCCATCTACGCACTTCAAAAATCACATGGTGATTTTTTGCATAAATTGTATSCAACCACCAGCTGTTCAGAGCTCAGCTCAATCACAGGAGCTACTTCCCATTTTCACACTAATCACCACTAAGCACCTCAAATAAACTGCTTTAAATGTCAAGCTTCATACTTCAGCACTCCCTACCGTGGCCCCTGACATATACCAGCCCTACAAACTGATCTGTCAAGTGGAGACATTGATGTGAACCGGCTTGATTCTGAAGGATGACCACATTATTTGGGCAGAAAGTGAAATTACTTGGCCAGAAAAGCATTCTTCTGCTTAAACKTATAAAGAATGAACTTCATTTGAAAGAGAGAAAAAAAATCCCCCACATWAAGAGCCTGAAAGCCTCAAATACTGCTCTTAAATTAGCCAGCCCCAAGCAATGTAGCTGAAGCAGGAAGTACTGCTATCCAGAAAATGCAATAATTTCATCTATTTGCAGTTTTAAACTTGGTGCACACTTAACAAGAAACCACTGGGCAAAAACATATTTAAATATTTGAACAGGAGAGTTACCCTTTTCTCCAAATATAACATGATGTCATACCMGTTCAGCAACGAATCAGCAGAGAACAGCTTTCAAAAGGCTCAGAATTTGCATGCATTTCAGAGAAGAGGCTGAGAGATACTGATACAACATAACTGAAAATACAGTACTGTTAATATGCAGCYGAAAATCCTAACAATAGGGTTACTTTGGAAGGTTATTAAAAAATGTTCATCAAGCTACCTGGATCAGTGGCAGATATTATYGCTCCAAAGAGGAGGCAGTCTGTGTAATAGAATTTATCAGACAGCTGACCCACCAGCTTCATTAGTTTCACAACCCCATACATGAGATTCCTGAAGAGAAAGAAGATAAAATATTCCAAGTCAAACAAGATGGTGCATTTCAGACAGGCTAAGCAAAAGCACAAGGAACAGTATTTTGGACAGACTTGTTTATGCTGCAGCTCTCTGGGACATTGCCACAGTGTAGCACAAACTCTCAAAGTGCACTTTCCTCTTTTCCCTATGAAGCAAATCAAGCAATACGTGATTCATCCAGAAGACATCACATAAAACCAGTAGGCAAAGTCTGCAAACTTCACTTAATTAACATAGAGTCTACACATTTCTTCCATTTTCCACCAAATTTTCCCTGCACAAAATTCTTCTCAGCATTATTTCTCCCAACACAATACATAGATCAAMATCTGAGGTAAGAATAGTCTTCAGATTATTTCTCTAGAGAAATTCTTTGAGAGACAAACCAAGGCCACCAATACAATTCAGGATTTCTGTTGTTCAGAATATCCATTTACAAAGCACAGTAATAAGAGCAGCATGAGAGACTGTAGGCAAGCAAACCAACATGAGCAGCTATCTTAAACTAAATGTGTGTGTACATATGTACACAATATATATATATATATATATATATATATATATATATATATAGGCAAAGAGAGAGAGCATGCTTTATCAACTTAAACTTTAGTATAGAGAGGAACTGCTATGAAAGTTCACTTACCCAATAATAAAACAAGAAACTGCTGTTCCTAAAAAGGCATAGGCCAAAATGGACCCCAAATTCCTGAAAAAGTGTCTCTGCATAGGAAAAAGAGGTTTATGTACTTAAGAACAGTTATATTGCCCATTCAGAATCACATAGCACACTATTTCACTTGCATCAGTACACAGAAACATGTCTCCATTTTAGATAAACATTTCAATTACTGCAATGTAAATTCAATCCAACTTCAATGAATCGAATAAACCAGATCTCTGCCATGCATTAAATCCTACATGCAGCTTATTAACAGAAACCAGCACCAATTTATGGTGTCTGCAAGCAAGATCAGAATCTGGGCCCTTCTGCCATCAAGGGTCTGGCATATCTCCACTGGGATTCAGGGTTTGGTCCACTTCTCAGCATAATTTACTGTACATATGCACATTTGAGAAGGACCAGAACAATTTATAATAGAACATCTTTTACTTTAAATGAAACTGACATTAACTTCTGGCTAAGTTCAAAGGAAAATAAATCAACAATATTAACTGAAGTTTAATACATTTATACCGAAAAATATATGTATTTATTCTAAAAATAACGTGATTAAAAATAATATGACCATCTCTGGAGGAAATTAGATTTTTCTCACTGTAAGTAAATCCTTGAAAGGAGACTACAATTATGAACAAATCAGAAATCTCACACTTAAAAAAAACACCTATTCTCCTCAGAAGTTATTGCACTTACTTTCTTCAGGCTATAGCCAGCATGAAAAATAATAGGAGGCAACAGAATGTTGAAAAAAACTTCTGGATCAAATGTTACCTAAAAAAAAAAAAAAAAAAAATCAGTTAGAAACAGACATATACAAATTGTTAGGTCTTTTTCCTCTTTCATTTTTCTGACAACTGCTATTTTTGGTTGTTGAAATAGATAAATTGACCTTCTAAAACATTGGCCAGCTCTATTTGTACATAGCAGAAAAAAAGCTGCAGCTCTTGTTGGTAAATAGCATCTAGAAAACACAGGCATTACATCCATTACCAGAGATAATCTGGCAGCAGTCCCAAACACAGTCTCCTATTTTAAAAAAAAATAAATTTCTAGTAGAAATTAGGCTGGATAAGATCTCTCTTATTGTGATACCTGATATTGATATAGCTGCAGATAAAATGCTATTTTAGCTTAGTTTTTTGTGCAAGTTTAGCCACTGACTAGTTATTGTAAACCAATCAAGTCAGATACAAGACTGGTTTTCAGAAATTTGGATCATACACCTTTTCTATGAATTTCGGTAGAAGTTCCACGTGTCCATGTAGGACTACACTGAGGAAGAAAAAAAACAGTTAAAATGCACATGTGAGACTAACTAGGCTCTCTTCACCTGCTGCCAAGCACAGGTTAGAAGACAGACACTACAACTGTGCCCTCCCCCAGCTCATTTCAGCTTTATATCAACTTTAGATACCGACAGCAGACAGAGACACACAGACAGCAAAGCTCTTTTCACAATCTGCAGAAAGTATTTTTAGATCACAATCCTGTACTTCAAAGTCTAGCTTTGGTACACACAAAAGGTGGCTAATTTCTGACACAGAATGAAAAGGCAAATAATACATCTGAATAACAGCTCATAGGTGAATTTCATTTTCAACACCAGACCGTCTCATTTGGTGGTTTATAAGGGTGGAAGTAATAACTATTTCCTGACAATAAACAGATTTTAAAACCCCCGGGAAAAGAAAAAAAACAACCAAAACAACAATGAAAAATCGCTTTTCATTAAAAAATTATCTTCATTATATTGCATTTATACAGGGGAGCATAAGGCTTTTTTTTTTTTTTTCTTTTTGAGCTGACGTCTGTGAATTCTACAGATGTTAGAAATGTACATGAAGTCTTCAAACCAAGGGCTTTAGGAAAGCACTACATACATGTAACAGAGCACAGTAACTCCAGCAGTGATATAATATAGAAGGTGTTTTTGAATTAAGCATTGAAGTGTTGTTACTATCAGGAATACTGAAATACTGACACCTGACSCTACCTAGTGTTCAAATGGGTTAGAGGGTGGAGGAGGGAAGGAAGCATGGCTGAAGGACAAAYACTCAGCCAAGCACGAGAAATGGTGTAGCCTCACCTTTCTCAACATGTCATTTTGCTCCACGTTGTGGATCTTCCCAGGGCTTATTTCCCCCTTGAGCGTGTACTCAAAGAACTTTCCGCTGACGTTGACCAGCAGGGTGGTGAAGGGCCTGTCCTCCTGYGAGCAGCTGAATGGTTTGTCATGGCCACTGGTGGAGGGAGTCCCGTATCTCAGGATCACCCCAACTATGAGTCCTGCAAGAGAGTTAAAAATCCACGAGGTTGATTTGCKACTCCTGCACCTTTACGAGCTCCAAATGACATCCAAGGGATAATGCATGAACTTTACAAGCATATGTGCATCATAAACACGTTGGAATGAATTGTGTACTATCAGCTTTCTGCAGAGGAAGAGAGGCCCCAAGCACATCAAAACTACCAATGAATTTGAACAATCTGGTACTTGACYGAAGCAACAAATATATTAAAAGCTCTATTTCAGTTTTTTTCTTCTTCACTCTCCTTCACCTCAAAAGTGCAAACTCCCAGYCACATGAGAGGATGAACATGAGGACACATCAAATACATTTCACCTGCCTTAGGACAGAACTGAGCAAACACACTGATGCCAGAAAACAATGACTGCTGAAAACATTACCATAACTGTTACGATCCAATTATTTGAGCTGGAACAGCAATGTTTGCCACACAATTTTATGGCTGCAGCAAGGCTGCGGTTTTTAGTCTTTCAATTCCAGGCAAATAAACAATGCCTGTTGCACAATTGTCTGTGTACTCCACAAATTTTAAAACTGAAAGTGAGACAACATGCATGAAGAAACCACTATATATCGTTTGCAAGCATTTTCCACATTTCACATAAACAAAAATCAAGTATGGTATAAATGAGCAATCATAACAGATTCAGGATTCAGGAATATAAGACAAATTTCTCAGCCAGCAGGGGAAATCCAACCATAAAATGCTATCAATAACAGATGCATCAGACACAGTGACAAAAATAATTCATAATTTAATGCCAGGGGGCTGGAGAAGCAYAAGATTTTAACTGAGCACCATTCATGTTACAATGCACTTAGCAGAGAACTTCTGCAGAGAGAACACATGAGAACACACAAGAAAAATCAAAGTGGTTTTGGTCTGAGAAGTAAACAAATTGATACACACTCACAAAAGGCCCCCCCTGTTGCCATAGTGTGATCTGCAACTTAATCCTTGTTCCAGACAACTGCAAGATGAAGATGGATGTTTGATGCTTTTGTTGACAAGTCAGTAGTCAATGTTGATTTTGCTCCCTGTGACCCTCCCCCTGCATCCATAGATCTGCTTCCCCAGGCAGTAAATGAAGATGACAGGTAATAACCAGAAAATAAATTAGGTAAAACAAAGAAAAAAATAAATCTACTACACACAACCAAACACTCAAATAGAGYTATCATTATGGCGTAGTGTAAAGAGTAACCAAATTCCTCCCCAAAAACCCAGCCAAAAGAAGACACCTCATTCTCTWCAAGTCCACAGTGGCAAAACTGTTCAAATGCAAGGAGGCACAGCAGGCAGCAGCTGTGACATTAGAGRAAGGCTCACCTCCAGCCCTCCTTCTTTATGATCAAGAGAACACARCAGCCACCAGATCATTCCAAAATAACTGGAATATTAAGATATTTTATTTAGAAAGGGGAAGTACATACTCAGAGAGAACACAGGAGAAGAAATCCCCTAAGCAAGATAAATCTACTTACTGAAATTTCAAATGCTGACAATTTAAATTCCGCCTATTTATAGAAGCATCTCGTAACACCACCGGAGCATTTTACAGCTACATATGATGGATGAGGCAGAACCACAGCTCTGCACAAAGGGACAGGTTACAGCCAGTCACCTCCAAGCCACTTGCACTACCAGTTATGGCTACAGATATTTTCATCAACCCAGCCAGGCAAGCAGCCTGAGCTTTCTGCTGCTCTSACCCTGCTCACAGCTGGGAAGAACKACACTCACAGAATCCAAGACTGGTTGTGGTAAAAACTGATCCAACCATCATCAGCCAGAAATCCTGTAGGAAATCAGAACTCAGAATGAAAACTGAACAGATGAGCTTACACACAGGTGTGGCACAAAGCCAAATGTGTATTGCTGCTCAGCAGAGAATAGAGAGGGGGACACTGGTGGATGTAACAGCTTCATAGGGCCAGAGACTGTCCTCAGTGAATGCATTACAAAAGCAGATGGCAAACCCCATTACAATTGCATTAGGAATAGAAAGTGGGGAGTAGCAGGTGATTGCACTACACAACTGGATATAATTCACTTGCACACTWWCTTCCCTAATAAAATATACAAGTTRTAKGACAATTATATCCWTAACTAGYACTTGAGCATYTGAAGTGAAACATTYTTTAACCCTCAGTATCCCAYGGCCCAGCAACRCAGCTACAGGGAATTTCCATACACCTCCTCTTGATAAAAGACAAAAATGGGTGAGGTTTTTGCACTGAGAACCACGCAGTTTAGGAACATATGATCCCTGCTGCCAGGCTGTTGTCTTGCAGCAGGATGCACCTGTACCAGGGGCCTTTGTTGAGGCAAAAGGTTGTCAGAAGCAGACAAGTGRGTAAAGCTACCCACAGCTCAGTCATTAAAGGAAATACTTGTGAAAACAAAAGGGGCCCAAGGAGGACACAAATTCCATGGCCAGMTTTGTCAGCAAAATATAAGACATCTATTAGTTCAAAAGATGAATTAGAAGAATGAAAACTTCCCTGACTTTACAAAGGTGCAGGCRTACTGCTATATTTATCATATRGTCATAAACCAATAGGTTTTGAACRTTAAAATGAAACATTRAAGCGAAGCATGAAAGCATTTGACAGAAGTCATTAGTGATTTTCAAAAAAGAATTTGAAGTCTTCCCAGAAAGCTATATGGAAGAATTTTCATTTTCYAATCAACATCACATCTTTTTCACGCTAAAAATTTACTAGACTTGTTATGTAATTTCTACATCCTATGTCACTTAATAAAATAACATTAACAAAGTTGATATATTTAATCAGCCCTCCCAAGATCACTAAAAACTAAAACCCAAAATTATTTTCAGGTCTGATTTACAGCCTCTCAAACTATGCCCTTCTAAGCTGTCTGCTATTAGGTGTCATACAGAAGACCAGGGCATCCTCTGTAATTTTCTCTTGATACTTGATTTCAACCATTTCTGAAAGATCAGAGTTGCATCTGGAGAACAAAAAGAGAATAGAATGAGATATATCTGGAATTTTTCAATGGACAAGCCTAGACTAAGTCTGGTAAGATTTACTTCTAGGCTGTTAATATAAGCAAAAATTCATTAACTCTGTTGCTTATTTGGAAGCAAGGAATGGTTGCTGGAATCTAGGAACAGAYACAGAAGAATCAGTACATAAACTCTGCATTCTGTCTGCCCAAGGTATCACTGGTGAAGAGTTTATGGAAAACCAGGATCAAGAGAGAAAATATTTTTCTGACTGCTTAAGAACACTCCACCTCTTCAAAAAAAGAACCCCTAGGCCAAATAAATCCAGCCCTGCCTTTTATTGCAAGACTCACAAGGGAGAAAAAAGCTATAAATGGGAACAAATACTTCAACATTTGAGAAATGCCTTACTTTCAAAGTTTTGGGTTATGGTAACTATTGCAAGGGCAAATTTACATCAATGCTCAAGGACTCTTAGSAAGAATAATCTCAAAAACTAATACCTAATAACCTGCATGCGTGACTTGCATTCTCACTTTTAACAGAGAGAGCATTTATGCCAGCGGTTTCCCTGTACAAAGCTGATCATGCAGCTTGWACACAAAGAATATCTTACTAAAAAYGAAGCATTAAAACATGGGAATATTTTGTACCTTCTGAAACAAATCASTCTTGGTAATGAAAAATATTACATTTCAGACATAGTCATAGAAACATAGAATCAGTTGAGTTGGAAAATACCTAAAATTACCGAGTCCAACTGTTAACTTGGCACTGCCAGATCCATCACTAAACCATATCCCCAAGTGCCACATCTACACATTATTGATTAAAAACATTAAAACATTAAAAACATTATTTAAACTCTTCCAGGAATGGCAACTCATCCACCTTCCTGGGCAATTCCAATGCTTGACCATCCTTTTAGTGAAAAAAACCCAAAACAATCCTAATATCCAATGTAAACTTCCTATGATGCAACTTGATTGGTCAACACCAATCTAACAATAGACCATTTAAAATGTCACTTTACTTTTGGTTTTGTTTRAGTACAGAAGTCAGTGAAGTGAGAACATGAACTCAGAAAGGCACACATAAACAGGAGTACCTTGATCTGGTAAGAGCCGTGGTCTGTGTGATTTCCAGCCCAATTCTCTGCTGAAGCAGCCCTGAGGTTTCAGGCAGTGCCAGCTGGCAGCAGACTGCAGGAACCAGAGGCWTTCACACTTCACACCACACAGTTTGATCAGTGAACTCAACTCAGTTTGATCTGTGAATCAGTGGACTGGATCAACCTGTGATCTCAAACCTGTTCAGATACAGTTTCTTTCATATGCTTCTGGTAAAGAGCTGAATACTGAGGGTCCTTCCCTTTCAAACCCTCTTCAAACTGAAGGAGACTTGATAGAAATTTTTGTTCTGTTTGCAGCTTCTCACCTGCCTCTGGAGAGGCAGAGAATCGAGGGACAGAATCTTTTGGAAAGCAGTCATTGATTAAAAACAACAAACTTGTTGCAATACGGGCAAAAAAAAATTAGTCAAAGTTTGTTATTCAAAACAATGAAGCAACTAAGCACCAGAACAGGCTGTCACAAAGGCTGCATAATCTCTTTCCTWGTCTATAGCCAAAACTCACTTGAGTATGGCCATGAGCTACCCAAGCTGTGGGGGCCTGCTGTGAACAAAGGCCTGGACATGACTGCCTCTCAAGATGAAAGACTAATAATAATACAGTGTTTATCACATAGATCATTTTCCTATTGGATGTTTGTGTGCATTGAGATACCACAGTTGAAAAGTTTTACTTTCAATAGCCTAAAGACCAAAAGAGAAAATATTTTTCCTATTAGAGGGTCAACCTTTGAACCTCCCAGTCCGCACCTTCAAATTTCATGAGGTGATTTATGAGGAAGTTTCAACACTCTTACAAAAATAATTCGAGCATTGTTTCTGATCCAGAACTGAGCCAATAATGTCACATGTTAATAAAATCAGATCACAT